GAGCTTTATTATTGAAGAAAGAGGCAGCCATTGTGATTAAAATGCCTGAGATCTGGAAAAGTCAGGGCTATCTCGAGAGCTGGTCCGCAATGTGTTGAAGTTCTCGCTCTCTTTTCCGTGTGACGCCCTCCACAACGACGACGCGTCTCCACGTGACACGCGCAGCACTTAAACACACACCGGCCAATGAGAGCAGTTTTACTACCTAGCTATACATCCCATCATCACCATCAATGCCCCAGTTGGTATTATAGATTACAAAGAGCAATGCGGAAGGGGCCATAATCGCGTGGTATCTCATTAATGCTTGGATCGATACCTATAGCTCATCTCGCACCGGTTCCTCCATCCCGGCCTCGAACATTCTCTTTTTTGTATTTCGGGGAAGCTCTGCTTGTCTTGCCCTCTCCTCCGGGCTGATATCGTCAATGTCTACGCTTTTTTGTTTATTTTGCTCGACCATGTCCCCAATTTCGTTAATTGCACGATTGCTGTCAGTCGGTCCTAGCGGCGCCTCTTGCTCCCAGGAAGCGCTACTGGCTGTCACGGTTCCTGTTGCAGCTGCCGTGGCCATTTGGTGAATAACGGTAGAGACATCCTCAGAAAGGGACTGAGAAGCTGATTGCATAGCTGTACTAGACAGTCCAGCTGCACCTAGTGTCGCAAACGCAAACCGAGCAATGAGCCTCAAAGGCAGCCATACAAGCCACCAAAGAGGCCCATAGAAGATACGTCGGAAGAGAAGCCAGCCAATTGTCCCTAGCAGAACATAGAAAGCAGTCTCAAGGTACCATGTATCGGACTTTTGGGAGCGGAGAAGAGAGTTAGCGAGGCTGCGGGATGAAGAGAGAAGTGTGTCAAGGCCGCTATAGGACTCGGACAGGGATGAGATCGCAGCTGTAGATTGTTCTAATCAAAAATATTAACATCCGTTGAAATTAGAGAAGGCAAAGGAAAGGGGTACGTACCAAGCGTTGATTGGGCAAACTGGCTGCGGGAGAGCTCTGCCTGCATAAGCTGATGGGTTCTGCGTAGCGCAGATGTCACATCATTCGAGGCATTCAAGACAAGGTCATCCTGGGTGAACTTCTCCGTCGGCTGCTTCTTCTCGGAAGAATGCGATCTTGACAGTAGCAATTCTCTCTCCTTCCGCTTGGCGAGTTCGGCATTCCGCTTCGCTTGTAGTTGGGCAGTTCGGAAATCTCCTCGTGTTCTGCAAGGCTTGTTAGCATATGGTTCATATTTAAAGACTAGCTAGTGGACCACAATAGAGAAATATCCCTAGTATCGCAAGTCGTTTAACGGTATCTTACCTCTTGAGATCCTCGGCCAATCGCCCTGCCATAGAAACAACGCGCTCCCTCTCCGCCTCCTTTGGTCCATGGACAGTAGGTGACTTGCGCCTGCTATCAGAGCCGGTTTCCAGCGCTTCGATCTCCACGCGCAGCAGCTCTAACTCCTGCTCGGCTTCCTTCAGCCGGGAATGTATCTCACTCCCAAGCTCCAGACGGGCTTCATCTCCTTGTCCAATAGAAGCAGTAAAATCGCGCAACCGATCCACGAGGGGCTGTATTTGTCCTAGGGAAGCCGATAGCTCTTTCACGCGGCCTTGGAGAGCTGTCGTGGGGGACATTGTATGATAAGAGTATTGCTTATTCGGATATGACGCATTCAAGTACTGTTTGTTCGCAGGGTTGAAGGGGTGTCTCTGAGAATAGACAATATCGGAGGATAATCTGAGAGATTTGAAGCAATAAGTTGCCTCATAAGTGTCAAGTTGTTCAACTCAAAGTTGCCATGTTGACGGGCGTCATTCGGCATTGTGTTTGCATCCCAGTCAAACATGACCCATTCCTTCAACCACAATTCGCAACGGAGACTCGGGTGTAGTTAGAACTTCCAATTGATCTTGCGCCATTACCTATCAAACTTGTCGCAGACCGACTGAGATCTACGCAACTTTCTCCTCGAACCAATCTTCCACCGAGGGTTATCTGTCCAACCGCCGTGGAACCAACCCCAGAACACACCACCTTTAAAAAACTTCCCGCAAGCCCTCATCCACTCAGGTACGCAACACCGGAAACTAGATAGAGCTACATGATACCATTCGCTCTTGCAAGATGAAAAATTCTGACCAATTTACCAGACCACATACCCTGCCCCGCTCACCACCCCCAATCCGCAACAATGACCATTCCCATCGCCACGATAACCTCCTTCCGAACCGTCTACAACCCCTTCTCTCGCGCCTCCCGGCCATGCCGTCTCTTCCTAGGAATGCTGCGCACACCAGACACTATCCCAACAAGCAGCCCGACCCACATTGATATCAAGGTCAAGCAATTGCCCCGCGACTCCACCGAGCCACCGACCATGACCGTCGGATTTAAGGGCGGCAAGGAGCTTACACTGGATGTCGGAAAGCGCGGGCTGAAGATTGGCGATGTTATCGAAGAGGTGTCCCGTGTTGGCAGAGCTCTGCAACGGGAGGCCAGCTTGAAGAATTAGTGGAAAGTTTTATTGGTCGAGCTGTGCATTCGTGTATTATATTACCTATCATTTGTTTCATCTGACGATTTTTGGCGCTGCTGGGCATATTGGAAGACTTGAATTATTCTTACTTTGGTAGAGAACATAAGGCTGTTTATGCTTCATACCTGATACAAGGCCTAGTGTAGATTTGACTTGCACAAGCTGTTGATAATAGTGATTGTTTCATTGCTATCCACTTCAGATTTGCATTTGTCCATCAGAGACTATTCTTCTCTACGCTGGGGTGGCAAAGAGAAAATACTGGGAGCAATTCATTCACAATTCAAAAATGAGTTCTTTCCTCGGGGAATCGAAGAACGAAATTCCCACCAGGTAGACGATCATAGGCTTGAAAGTTTTGGTTAGTTTTATATTTTTCTTGCACAAAATATCTTATACTGCGGCACCTGAGATGAAGAACCACTTGTCGATGCTTCCATCAATGGGGGCAGGGGGCAGAGTCTCGTTGCGGGGGATAGCAGCGAGCTGAGCCTGGTCAACGCGGTCGGCAGAGTTCTCAATGGTGGAGTTGGCACTAGTGCTAGTTAGTTTCAACACTCTCCAAAGCAAGGATATGTGTATCGATAGAACTCACAGGCTGATTTCACCACGGGCGGTCTTGCCGGAGACAAGCTTCTCCCAGGCGTCAGAGCACTCGCGGATGACATCCTCGGCGTACTTCTTGTTCTTGCACTCGCCGGAGAAGGCGAACTGGTTCTCGGGCTTTCCGTCGGGGATCTTGTAGATGCGGAACCACTCATTGGTAGCGCGCATGAGGCCGGGAAGCTGGCGCTCAACATCCTCGATGTCGTTGAGCTTAGGAGCGAGAGGGTCGTTGACGTCGATGACAATGATCTTCCAGTCGGTCTCCTCCTCGTCAATCAGGGCCATGACGCCGAGAACCTTGACCTGCTTGACCTGGCCGGTGTAGCCGACAAGCTCACCAATCTCGCAGACGTCGAGGGGATCGTTGTCACCCTTGGCCTTGGTCTCGGGGTGGATGGAGTTGGGGTCTTCCCAGGTCTGGTTCACGTGTCAATTTCTTGTTACCCCTCTTCCTATCCACGGGTGCGGGGGAGGTCCAAAACTTACGCGAGGGAAGGCACCGTAGTTCCAGAGGTAACCCTTGTGAGGGAAGCAGTTGCGGACGAAGCGGAGCTTGCCCTTCTTGGTGTCCTGCTTGATGGGGTTGAGGAACTCATCCTTGGAGATCTGTTGATGCGATAATCAGTATTTGGCGAGGGTCAATGGAGGTATGTTGTCGTACCTCCTGCTTGGCGTTGGTCCAGCGGGGGATCTCAACGACCATGTTCAGGATGGTCTGCTGCTCGTTGGCATAGAGAGGAATGTCGTGGAAAGGGGAGACGGGGACGCCATCCTTCTCAATGAACACACGGTGCTCAAGGGTGTGTGGGGAGCCGATCTTGCGGATGGAGTAAGACATGTTGGGTGATGTAGACGAAAAGTGTCTAGATACTTGGGCCACACGGGATAAGGGAGAAGAAAAGGAAGAAGAGAGAGGGGCAGTAGAAGTGGGGGGCAGCGTCGCTGATGTGCGCCAAACAGAGCGGGAGGCGGTGGAGGTAACACTTCCCAGTCGGGCCAAAGGAGGACAAGTCATTGGCTCTATTGGAAATGCTTTTAATGCCTTTCTTTTTTTCTGTTAGTATTTTTATTTTAGTATTTCTGATACAGAACTTGAAATTGTATATATGTACCTTTAATCACACTGGTATAAGTTGTGCGTGGTGGTGTTACCCCTTTGACTGCGGAAGTTTGTTAAAAAAAAAAAAAAAGATAAAAAAAAGCATGGGAGATCCGAAAGTCGGCATCTGTAAACCCGAATCAAATTGATATCCCGACTACTATGTAAATCAATTGTGTATTTACGGAGTAAATTGTATACAATTGAAGTCTTGTGCTCTCACTACGTATTAAGACATATCGCAGCATAAGATATGCTACATCTTTTATTTGACAGCATTTATGGAGTACAGAGGATGGAGTACATTGCATGTACCTACCCGAGCCTATACTGCGAGACACGGCGATATCGGCAGTATACGCAGCCTATAAATCAATTGCAATTATGCTCATTTCAATTCAAGTTGTACTCCATGATCCTACAATTATCAAGCCCTGAAAGAATCACAGGTGAACAACCACATTCAAAGCTAGATATGTCGTGATCCTTGGCAGGGAATGAAGCCTAGTCATTGGTTGCTTTGTACTCGGAAAATAGATGACCCGCCAAAATGGCTTTGTCAAAAATACCAATGACTTAAATTACCTCAATACCTGAAATCAAATTACTTGCCCTGAAAAGAAGGTTATCGCCACTATCTTCACGTGACTCAAACTTTCAATCGGGAGTCCCTCCGACCCCAGGGAAAAAAAAAAGACCCGTTCTATATTCCCCTCTCCCCGCACCTGGGAATGCTATGATCAGGACTCTCCGCAAGACAATGGCAACCATCGCAACCGCAACCGCAGCTGCCCCCGCGCCGGCCGTTGTGCCGCGCGTGCCTATCCCTGCTAACGGCGTCGACTACCGCAACAAAATCGTCCTCGCCCCAATGGTTCGATCAGGCGAACTACCCTCGCGCCTACTGGCACTGAAATACGGCGCTGACCTAGTCTGGGGTCCCGAAACAATCGACCGCTCTATGATCGGCGCTGAGCGACGCGTTAACCCGCGAAACGGCACAATCGAATTCACCCGTATGCCCAGCAACGGCGGACGCCCCGACAAACCTGCCAAACCATCAATCATCTACCGCATAGACCCAGCGCGCGAGAAAGGCCGACTGATCTATCAAATTGGTACGGCCGACCCAGAGCTAGCAGTACAATCGGCGCGCGTTGTGGCCGCCGATGTCTCAGGCATTGATCTCAACTCTGGCTGCCCGAAACCCTTCTCCACAAGCGGTGGAATGGGCGCTGCCCTCCTCCGCACACCCGACCTCCTCGTCTCAATCCTGGAAGCTCTCGTCAAGGAGATCGGTGTACCCTTCCAAATCGGCATCTCGGTCAAGATTCGCATCCTCTCCAAGCCCGAAGAAACAGAGGCCCTCGTTTCCCGCCTCGTGAAAACAGGCATCACAGGCTTGACAGTGCACTGTCGCACGACTCCCATGCGGCCGCGCGAACGCGCAATCCGCGATCAACTCCCCATGGTAGCGCGCATCTGCCACGAGGCCGGCGTGGCGTGCGTGATGAACGGCGATGTAATATCGCGCGACCAGGGCCTCGCGCTGATGGCCGAGCACGGCGTTGACGGGGCAATGATTGCTACCTCCGCGGAGACCAACTCGTCTTGTTTCCGGGCCGAGGCAGATGGTGGTGTCGCGCCGTGGCGGGATGTCGTCTATGACTACTTGCGTTTCTGTATCGAGTCAGAGAACCGTCTGGGCAATACCAAGTATCTGCTCAACATGCTGATCCCCGGCAAGAACAAAGAGTTCAAGGATACGAAATTGTCCAAAACATATCTTGATATCTGCCGTGGATTGAAGTTCGATGATTTGCTTCCTGCTGCTGCGCATGTTGATCAGATACTCGGTCTGGATGAAAAGTGGGAGACTGCCCCCGGTGTGACCGATACTGAACCCCAGGCTGAAACGAAGTCCAAGGCCGTGCAGAATGCTATGGAGTCCGAAGCTGCTCGTGCAGCTGGTGGTGGTGCTGTTCGAACTAAAACGCCTTCGCCAGCTGTTCATGGGGGCGGTCCCATTCGGCGGTCTTCTGCTCCTCAGCCAGCTAAGGTTACTCAAGTTGATGCTGAACAGCCAGCCGTTGAGGCTAGTGTTCCTGATGCACAAGCTCAGGCTCCATCTCAAGTGACTGTGTGAATGTTGCTTTAACGCTTTTGGTTACATTCATCGTCTATCATTGCTCTCTTTCACGGTCTGTTCTCGGTCCACCATGCATAGCCCTCGGTTTTCTTTCAGTTTACTATTCCTTTACTCTTGCTTGTACCTATCTGCATTCTGAGGTGTTTATGATCGCTTCCGCCTGTTCTGTCTATAGATTATTCCCCACTTATATATACCTCATGCTCATCCTTGATCACCACCTACATATGTAGTTGCTAATACCATAAATATCACTACGCTTTACAAGGCTTAGAAACATTATGCACTAAATAACAGTTGGATTTTTGATCCTCTAATCTAACAAATGATATGCGATTCCCAGAATCGCCATGATATCACCCCACCGAACACCATGTGCTAACTGTGCCATACTCGGCACATTATTAAATGCAGTATCGGCATCACCATGCTGATACCCACAGCAGGGACGCCCTGTATGAACTTTTTTTTTTTTCTGTTTTTCCTTTTTCTTGTTTTTTTTTTTTTTTTTTCATTTGTTTTTCTGTGGTCGCTCACTTCTCGGCCTTCACCTTCAGCTCGGCCATCATCATTCCCTCAACGACCTTGATGCCGGCCTCCTCGCTCTTCTTGGCGCCGGCCTCATCGTCCCCAGCCACGGCCTGGTCAAGTGCCAGCTTGGTCTGGCCAAGCGCGTAGATCTGCTCCTCGATGGTGTCCTGAGTCACCAGACGGTAAACTTCAACCTCGCGGGTCTGGCCGACTCGGTGGGCACGGTTCTCAGCCTGCACATCTTCCTGTGGGTTGAAGGAAGAGTCGAAGATGACCACGCGATTGGCACAGGCCAAGTTGATACCGGCACCGCCGGCCTTGGTGGACAGGAGGAAAACGGGGATCTCGGTGCGCTCGTGGAAGGCGTCGAGGATGGACTGGCGATCCTCGACGTTGGTGCGGCCATCCAGGCGGACGAATTCAATTTTCAGGGTCTCCAGCACATACTCAAGAATGTCCATGACCATCGTGAATTGGGAAAAGATGAGGGTGCGATCGCCATTGGCGATAAAACGGGTGAGGAGCTCTTTGAGATGTTCCACCTTGCCGGAGTCCATCCATTCGTCGTTCTTAAGCTTGAACTTGCCGAGGGAATTGGGGTTTTCCACACACATGTGGTGGCACTCAAAGTCATTGTATGGCATGAGCTCTTCAAGGATGATCTTAGGGTCGGATAGCGACCACTTGTCTTCCTTCAAGCAGGCCTTAGCCATCTTTTGTAAAATCTCATCGGTATAGTGACGACGAGCAAGGAGGGGGTGGATAGCGGCCTGGCGCAACTTCATGAGAATATTGGCGGACTTGGAGCCGGTCTTCTTTCCAGCAGCACGGTCTTCCAAGAGCTGGCGCACTTGCTCTTTTTCATGGTCATAAATCTTGACTTGAGAAGGTTTCATTTGACACCAACCAACATGAGAATGCTTGGCCGGAAGATCAATGACCTGGTGCTTCTTTCGTCGGAGGATAAATGGCTTCATCATGGACTTCGCGCGCTCAATGCGCTGCTGGGATAGGAGAGTAGCATGGGACTCATCGGTAGTCTTTGCCTTGTTGGAAAACACTGCATGAAGGTCTTCCTTGTGTTCCTGGAAGACCGAGGGAAGAATAAAGCCGAGAAGCGACGCCAGCTCCTGCAAGTTATTCTGGAGGGGAGTACCAGTGAGAAGAAGACGGAAACGCGCCCGAATTCTAATCAATTTTTCATACAACTGAGACTGATGGTTCTTCAGCATGTGGCCTTCATCATAGACACAGACAGTGAAATCCATGTCACGCAAGAACTTGGCATCAAGCTTCGCCTTGGCAATCGTGTAGGTAGTGATCACAACGTTGATCTCGTCACGTCGTTCCTCGATCTCGTCGCGGATGAGAGCACGCTCGTTGAGACCAGCGTAGTAAGGCATCACATTCAAGGTTGGACAAAATTTCTGGAACTCGCGAAGCCAGTTCTCAATGGTGGAAGATGGGACAACAATCAAGTGAGGGCCCTTGATACCCTTCTCAAACAGATGTGCGAGGAATGCAATGACCTGGCAAGTCTTACCCAGGCCCATGTCATCAGCCAGAATGCAGCTGAGCTTTCTTTCAAACAACAATGCCAGCCAGTTGATTCCCACAACTTGGTAATCCTTCATTACCAGGTCGTCGGCCATGATAGACGGCTGGGAGATGAAACGAGATTTGCGCTTCGAAACGACCAGTTTTCCACTTTCTTCGTCACTTTCGGAAGATTGCCGTTCAGATGCGGGAGTAGCAATACCCGAGTCGTGTTCCGATTTAGGAGCCAGGTTGGTAATTTCCAAGTCGCCCTTCTTTCCGAAGGTGTCCACGCCCCATTTCTTCATCTCTTCGGCGACTGGCTTGCCAAGTTCCTCGACCTCGCCAACAAGTGCGTCAATGGCCAGATATCCAGTCCACATATCAATACACTTGTCGACAATTTTGTCTCCAATGGGCTTAGGGGCTTTGCCTCCTCTCTTGCCCTTGGGCTTCACGGTCTCTACCACTGGGGCTGAGACAACACGCACCTCATCGAGGGTCTCGTATGGACGGTTTGAAATGATAATTTGAGCGGTTTCTTCGGGGATAGAGGCAATATCAGCGAGATCTTGAACACGACATGTGTTGAAGAATTTCAAGACCTTAAAATCCAAACCGCCAGCGGTGGATTCTTGGACCTGGACATTTGAATCATCCGAATCACTCATCATAGCCTCGGGAGATTCGGATCGGTCAGGCGAAGGGGCTTTGCGACCCTTCTGAAGCCGTCCCAGCTTCTTTTTCTGGGGACTGGCATCGTTGACTGGAATAGCACGAACAGGTGAGACAGCACGGGAAGGGCCGTCAGACTTGGGTCCACGAATGAGTCGGCGGCGAGGCTTGCCTTCGTCATCAGAATCCTGGCCCTTGGGCTGCTTCATTGCCGCCCACTTGTCCTGAATGGTGCCACGAGCTTTGATGTTCTGCTTAGCCATGGGAGCCGGGCCTGTACCAGTGGGGCCGCCCAATTCATCATCAGAAGATTCAATCACCACAGGACCATTCTGCTTATCGGCAGCATCGATGCTGGCGAGGATTTGGAGGGCTTCGTCGTAGTTCCCCTTCGCTTTCAACATGGCTTCCATACAGGTTCGAACGGTCATATGCGGCATCACTTTGAGGATGCGCTCAACTTTGACGCGAAGTCTGAAGTCATTGATCTCATGAAGCAGGATGTCTGGAACTCCCACGGGCTGTGCGCGAGAGGGCGCATCTTGGCGCGCTTTTTTCGTGGCAACTCCCATCGCTGCCGGTGGACTCATCTGGTCCGCAGTCCGCTTGGTTGCGGGTGAAATATTCTTCGGATCGTACATGGCAGAAGCTGTAATTTCTCGGAACCGATCCATTGGCCCAGCCTCAGAGCGGACGGGCGATTCCATGATCTTTTCTTGTTCGGGACTCCGAACGGTTTTCGCAAACATAGACGGTTTGATATCTGTACTCTGTAGGTGATACTCTTCGTCTGATGAGCCACCTCGATATGTCGGTCCGTCGTCGAGATCAAACTTTGGTGTTCGTTTTGTAGGACCAGACGCAGGAGGTCGGAAATGGGTCCCAGAAGGAGCGACTAAAGATGAAAGTAAACCGCCTTGGACTCGGCGGGGAGGAGAAGAGATTGGACCTATGGGCGAAGATGCGGCAACTTGAATGACAGTATTGTTATGGCGCAAGTAAGGATGTTCAAGTAATTGTGTTGGTTGGGTCAATCTTTGCGATGGAGTTATCGCTGGAAGAGTGGCGATGGTTTCGTAGTCTTCGCCCGGAGGAGTACTCGGGATGGTTTTTATATCTCGAGGGGGAGTATTGTTGACAGCTTCATCCATTGCTCCAGAGTCCACAATGGTAACAATTTTATTCAATTGTTGGAGCCATCTAATTGTTCTGCATTATTCAGGAACGTTTTTTCTGCCAAAGCGGACACGCGCGAATGAACGCGCCCAATCACGTGCGAGATCTGTCAATTAAGCAATAGGAACAAAGGAATAAAATAAACATTAACATGTGAATATTATGAATCTCATATTGAGTCTATATTCAAAATGAACAATAGACAACTGTTTTCCTAAAAGGGAAGTGAAACAATCAGAGAGTCATATGAATCAATACCATTCAATGAACCAATCAAACCCCGGCATGTGACGGCACTAAGATATCTGTTATCTCTCCGCACTTGCGATAGCTTCACATGTTTCTTTGTTTCTCAACCCAGGCACTTCCCTTTTCATCTTTTGGTGATTTTTTTTAATTATTATATTGTTTCATAAGAAAAACATGTCTGCCCGCCGTCCCCACAACCAGTCCTACGCCGATGTTGCAGCGAAACCTGCGCCACAAGGCAGGTCCGACGTGGCACCAGCTGTTCCTGCGTAAGATAATAGCCTTAGAAGCTTGGGTTAGTCCTTGAAGACAGATTCTTATTAGCTCTGATACATAGAGATGTGATTTACAAGCTTCTCGGCTTCACAGCTGCCATGATCGCTGGCCCCATTGGCATGTATTTCTTGACTGTGAATACAATCTTTAATGGTAGGTATTTCTCTGCCTCCCAACTTGCAATGATATATACTGATCGAATTGATGTTATTCAGGGAGCTCGACACTTGCCGGAATCACTGCCGCCGTTACCGCCAACGTGGTTTTGTTCGCATATATCTATGTCGCATGGACGGAAGACCAGGAGGACCGACAAGCAGCCAGAAAGTCAGATTCAAAGAAAGCCCAGTAGACAGGATGGAACTCGATCTGGGAGTTTCTAAAAAAAATGATTATTATCTTGGGCGTTACGGTTGTTCAGTTGTTCGAGTGGTCTAGGGTTTCTGTTTTTATATAATTGGCATGGAACAACTTTGACCATCTAAGGACTCAATTCTAAAACTACACATTGACCGAGCTATTCATCTAACTAGTAGATGTTCTAGATGTTCTCAGGATATCAAGCTCCACGCATCAACCCTGCCAGTCAAGGCCCAAATTAAAAAAGATGTGCTGTCCATGTTGAAGGAACCGCATATAGAGACAAAAAAAAGGCCTCGACCCATGCCCTCGATATAGACAGATACGCCAATATGCAGTGCCAAACAGAAACCACTCTCTCGCATATCCCCATTCCCATCAGCTTACTGCTAGCTCCGCATCAGCTTAGGTAGGTCTGCGCTTGACAAACTCCTCCAAGTCTGCCTTGGTAGCAACACCGAGGACAAACTTGCGTGCCACATCGGTGACAACAGCAAATTGCTGCTTCTCGCGCTTCTCACCATTTGGACCCGTCTCGCTCTCAAAGAACTGCTCGAGCTCCTCGAGTGGCGTCTCCATCGTGATAACTTGATAGATGCCACGCTTGCGATTGAAGCGCTGCATGGCCGCTGAGACTGGATCGGTTTCTTTCACGTTGCCGCTCTGCAGTAGTTCCCGTAGCCGTGGGATGCTGACGTAGCCCAACAGAGAGCGCTTTGTCGGGGAGATAACGGTGAGGTGCGTGTAGTCGCGCTCGTAGGCGGCCATTAGGGCTGTGGAAATTGGGTCATGGGAGGAGACTGAAAGCGCCGGGGGAGGGTCGAGGTCTTCGATTGTTGCCTGTGTTGTATTAGCTTGGTGGTCTGTTGGATGATTGTAGAGAGACGGACACCGCGGTACTTATCAGCCCAGGCTTCTGTAGATGTATTTGTGTCAGAGGTTTGCTTCTCGCGATTGAAGGCCTCGCTGCCGGTCAAGTATGATGCCATTTTGAAGATCGCGATGAGGGGTTGGTGAGGGGCAGTGGACAGGTTTGTGGGGTCGTTGAGAAGTACAGGTAGGTGAAAGGAGAAGGATTCGCCCAGGTGTAAATATTTAGAGGTCAAATAAAGATTTCTTCAGGGTATGCCAAAGTCGTGCAGCGTCAAGGGCTTTCAGCTGTCGACGGGTTGGATGACTTTTTGATGTCAATCTTGGCATCTCTTTAACTCCACTACGGAAGACGCTTGCGGCCACGGAGATCAGCTTCATATACATTCATATCAATTTTCTTTTCTACTTTTCTACTTTTCTTTTTTCGATTGTAATACGTCTATACTCTCATGGCGTTTAAAGAAAAGTAGGCCTGCAGTTGAGAGGGCCCTATGACCTCACCCGGTTAATGTAAGGTGAATATCCAGCATCGAGGATTCAATGTTTCCATACAACATAGGAAACAAGTCATACTAATACAAATATACATATATGTAGGAAGTAATATAATAAATAGCAGACTAGCCCTTTAGATTTACATAGTCTTCGGAGAACATGTCGTTAAATACGTTAACTCCGTGTGCCGGTTTTCCCTAGCCCCCTTGTAATGCCAGTTTCTATCCAGTTATAATATAGCATGTTAAAAACCAAGGCCCACACGGAGAACTTATAAGTACAACATAAAATCCATCTTACATACGGAGTACGGGAGTATAGAGTCGAAGTAAACTTCAAAAGTGCTAGAAAGTGCCTTGTCGGATCCCCGAGTCTTACAGGCCCCACACGTCATTGCCTTTGTGAGAATCCATACTCCCCTGTATCCTGTCTCATCCTGATTCATTCTGATTCATTCTGATTCATTCTGTTTTTCAAACTCTCATACAAATTCAAGAAAGAAATACAATTCGAAATCCACCCTTTGGCGGAGATCACCAGATATCCAAGCTGACTCCACTTATACCCACTACCCGAAGTACAGCCCGCCATGATTCCGGACTGGATCAACGCTTTCGCTGCCCAGCATCCTCTAGGTAGTGTTAGTGCCAATGCCTCCACTGCGAAAAATAGACCGTTCTCAGCGTGGAGCGCACTTGACGATGTGAAGACAAAGGCCGACAACATTGCCCACGAGGCGAGCCGGGAATTTGATGTCGCAAGTCAGAGGGCCCAGGAGAAGACCGGCAAGATCGAGCCTGGTTCTCTGAAGTACTATGCAGCTTGCACATTTGGTGGAATGATGGCGTGTGTCAGTAGCCCATTTGCTTAGATTATGATTGCCGTATGGACTAAATACTCATATATATATATATCAGGGCCTTACCCACACTGCTGTGACACCCCTCGATCTGATCAAATGTCGCCGTCAAGTTGACTCTAAGCTCTATAAGAGCAACCTACAAGCCTTCCGCACCATCCGTGCAGCTGAAGGTATTCGTGGTGTCTTCACGGGATGGAGCCCTACCTTCTTCGGCTACAGCGTGAGTCTGAATCACATATGGATATCTTACTTCCCTAATTATCTATACTGATCACGGTTATAACAGGCCCAAGGAGCTTTCAAGTATGGTGGATACGAGTACTTCAAGGTCTTCTACAGCGACCTAGTCGGCCAAGAAAACGCGAGCCGATTCAAGACTGCCATATACCTGACCGCCAGTGCTTCGGCAGAGCTTATCGCAGATGTTGCCCTGTGTCCATTCGAATCCGTCAAAGTCCGTGGTCAGACTACCATCCCTCCTGAGATTACAGGTACTTTCAGCGGTATCTCGAACGTTGTTGCCAAGGAGGGTGTTGCTGGGTGAGTTCGACATATATCGCTTTCCATTCTGAGGTCAAATCTTTATAAGCTGACCCTTTACCCAGTCTGTACAAGGGACTTTACCCTCTGTGGGGCCGTCAAGTTCCCTACACGATGATGAAGTTTGCTTCCTTCGAGACTATTGTTGAAATGATCTACCACAATCTGCCAGGCCAGAAATCCGACTACAACAAGGGTGCCCAGACTGCCGTTGCATTCACTGGTGGTTACCTCGCTGGTATTCTGTGTGCCGCAGTATCGCACCCTGCCGATGTCATGGTCAGCAAGTTGAACGCGAATCGACAGGCAGGTGAGGCATTTGGCGCCGCTATGAGTCGTATCTATGGTGACATTGGCTTCCGCGGATTGTGGAACGGACTGCCTGTTCGTATTGTGATGATCGGTACTTTGGTGAGTTATCCTCATTCTCGGTGTGGTTTAATGTATGATGGTGCTAACAAGAATATGTACAGACCGGACTCCAATGGATGATGTATGATCCCACTTTCTTTCTGTTTATGCACTGGATATGTACTGACTTTGATCTTCCAGTTACGATTCATTCAAGATTTTCATGGGGCTTCCTACCACCGGTGGCGCAAGCGAAGACAAGAAGAAGAATTAAGAGCTGGTTTGATGCGGCGGGTAGCATGCGCAGTCTCCATTCTATTTACCAGCTGGGCTGTAGCTACGCTGATCATATCTTTTCTCAGGAATATTCTATCAGATTCAATACATATTCTCCTCTCTTATTATTGTCTTAATATATACCCGTTCCGCATAGTAAACGCCAAGCTCGCTATCGGCCAATTGCAGTTTGTCATGGTTCCACCAATCGGAGGCCATTATCTTATCAGCGACGTCACGAACCTCTTTGAATATAAATGTTCAATGTAGTTGAATAACAACATCTGAACGGTATAGATAGAGAACCAGGCAATTTACGAACCTCTTGGCTCGGAATCCCACTATTATCTAGCTCCCGGATACGATGAAGTGGGTATATTATACTCAAAAGATCTAGATTCCCCAAAATCCACTTGTTCATCTCCCTCCCCGTACGACTCAAAAGTCCTTCTGAGACTCTTAGAAACAGTAAGCTTGCAGATACTCGCAAACACGTGGATTTCCCCGCCATCACATCCAGTACCTGCATCTGGCGCACCATCAATAATCGATAAATACCTTCCTACCTGCCCAAATCCTTCTTTCGCATCTACCCATCTCATTATCGATCTATCTCACCTACGAGTTGCTTTACTTCCAAGGCCACAAGCACCCACTCCAATATCTGACGTAAACCAGTCAAAATGCCCGAGAAAACCGATAAGCCCGCGAAGACCGGATCAGAGGCCCCAATGGTCTCCCATGGCCGAGGAGGCAAGCTAATCCCCCCAGCCCTAAATGCGCTCGCCCCTCCAAGACCATCAGCTAACACAAGATTAGGTCAAGGCAACATCGGCCACGACGCCACCGAGTATGTTAAAGTTAGTCGTGCACATGCGACAACATACTAAAACCACATGCAAAACAGATACGTCGATGGCGAGATCGTCCGCGAAGGCCCCTACGGCGACCAAGGTGATGGCGCTTACTCTGCCGGCGTGAGTACCTCTCACCCCACCAAACCCAAGCCTTCTACTGACGCACCCGATTCTACCCAGCGAGGTGGCGCAGGAAACATCGGCTCCCCAATGGTCCGTCCCGTGTCTAGGGCTCCCCACGACGCCGATATGATCCCCGAGCTCGCAGTGCGTGACTCAGTCGACGAAACATACCACACCGGGGTAAGCAGAGAGCTCTTTCACTTGTTTACCTTTGATCTATTTGATTATCGAACCGAGTCTTTTCTATATGGTTTCCCACTTTCCCACTTTCCGAATGGATGTCACCTCTATTGCGATTTCTACTTTTGATCTTCACTGGTTTTGGATCCCCGGATTTTCCCAGAGCATGGCTGACTTTTTTTTTTCCTCTTTGGGTGGTAGCGTGGTGGACAGGGAAATGTGCATCTTGATGCAGCTTCGCTTAAGGAGAAGAAGGAGAAGAAAGTTGCGCATGAGGGGCTGGCTGATAAGTTGAAGTATAAGTTGATGGGGCGGAAGTAGGGTAAATAACGGTCTTTTTACTCTTGCTTTTGCTCTTGTGCTTCTATCGTGATTCCCATTTCTCGTGTGGTGATGGGTGAGCCTGTCAATTTATTTTCCAGTTTTCGGAATTTTTCGATTTGATGTTGCTTTCTGTTAAGGTACCTGCAAGTGTATGTGCATATAACAGTCTTGAACGGTTATATGGATAAGGAGAAATAGCTAGGAGTAAATACAGATCGGTATGAATAAGAAACAGAAACAGTAACAGAGAGAACAATAAACACAGTAAACAAATCTCGATTGACGTCTCCCATGTGTCCATGTATCATAACCTCATTACAGCATGCGATAAAGAAAATAACAATAAAAACATCCCGCATGCTCCATACAAAATAGAGAATAACGCCAGTTTGCAACCCGAAAAAAAGGCATGCGTCTTGAAATGAAGTGTCCAGATACAGTATCAAGCATTATCCATCTCAATCTCACATCTCACCCGAGACGATAAGATTTAATCTTTGCTGAACCGGCGTTTGAACCAGCTCTTCCTCTTATCTGGTTTCTCTTTGCTAGCCGGAGGTTGGTTCACATTCTTGCGTGCAGGCGGTTGTGCAGGCCCAGCCCCTGTGGAAGTCGGAGTACCTCCAACAGGTCCACCCCAACTTGGGTCACCAAGAGGTTGGGGAGCCCTGGGTGAGCTGAAACTATTGATATCATACCCAGCTTGAGAACGTTCATCAAGACGCTGTTGCTGCAAAGCCTGCTGCTGCAATTGGTCGTTGGAGCTGTTCATTGAGCTGGGGTCTGTGGACTGGCCATAGGGGTTGGTGCCATAACCAGTGTTCGGCATGGCAGCCACGTTGTCACGCGACCGTTGGTAGCCATATGGGTTGGCCATGTTTGGATAGCCCTCGACGGGGGTGATGGGCGCTGACGGTGATCCGCGTGGATGGTGGGATGGGCGTCTTCTGCTGTTTTGGCTATATCCACTCTGATTATATCCACCTTGGTTGTATCCACTCTGGGTGTAGGGGTTGGGATTCTCGGGTGAGAGAGGTGTGTTCTGATACGCATTCACGATGCTATCTGGTCGCGATTGGGGTTGGCCGTAGTGGCTGCTTTGTTCGTAGTTTCTGTGGGAAGGGGCGGTGTTTTGACCTATTGATGAAAATGTTAGAAGCAATTGATGAATGAATGTCACAGAAAAACATACCTCCATAGTAGCTTGTTCGTCGGCTGAAATCGCCCATCTGTGATGCAGCATCATCTATCAAAGAAATCAGCCCATATCCCCGCATTGACATTTCACAGGGAATTGCCAAAGAATACCTGTCCTGGCGTACGACGCACGGTTATTACTGTATGTGCCATAGATAGCTGCTTCAAACGATCGAATTGTATCCAAGGGGCGCTCCAAACGGGGTCGAGTGGGATTTGACAGGTCGGGATCGGCTATTGATGAAGCAAGGGTCAGCAAAAATGCTCCAGGTACCAAAGATGAACAGTGATTTAACGAACTGATGACGTTTCCATATTGATCCTTGTGTTCAATTTCACGCAGTGAGCCCAAATTTGATTGTTCCAGTGCAACAGCCACTATTGAAGTGTCAGTTGAAGTGAGATGGAGGAAATGCGACCGGGCCAGAAAGGTTTAAGGTGTCAACTGCTGGACGTACTAGGCTGAAGTTCGTTCATAGCGACGAGAGGATCTGCTTTGGTGTGGAGATTGCGACGAGCTTTCTCCTCCGACGATTCAGATGGTCCACGTCGGTGGCTTGTTGATCCCGATTTATCTGAGTTGTTGGATTTCACACTGAACCCACGACTCCTCTTGGGAGAGGTGGGAGATTGGGGGGTGGCCATTTTATTAGGAGTTCCACCGTAATTTTTAGCGTCCGAGATTCAAGGCAGTTCTAAAACGGCTGTGATCTGCTGAGCTGCCGCAGTGGAGCGTTCGTAGTGGAGGTGGGAACTGCCAAGGCGCGATCACAATTCAGCGCGTTTGCGATATGAGAGAACAGATTGGTCTGGTCGCTTGTATGCGATCAAGAGGATAAAATGGGGGGGTGGAGACGATTGTGGTGACTACTATGTAGTGTGATGGGTGATGGGTGATGACTGATGTTTTGAGTCTGGGCAAGTTGGGGTAAAAATGTCAAAGTAAAAGATCAGACAATTACCAAGTCGGAAAGGTTGAAAGAGGGAAATCGGATGGTTTTTATTCCCCAAGGCACCTGTCTACTTTTTTTTTTTGAATTTAATTTAATTAATTTTTTTTTTCTTCAAATAGAATATTTCTATTCTATTATACTTGTAAAATGAAACAAAAAACCTCGGTAAGCTTCTACTTGGTATGGTAAGCGATTGGTGATGCCTAGATATTCCTCTCCACAATATACAGTGGCAATCCATTTTCCATCACATTTTCATACGGAGTACATAGGTACTATAACAGGTCCTAAGCCCTTACATGAACTACTATTTCACCTTTTTTTTACTTTTCTAGAAAAACTAAGATCGCCTGATGCATATCCGGGTCGTTCCAATTGGCCACCTTACTTTATTTCAATTCCCCTTGTGCCTTCCTTATGCCAACGTTGTGCAAACCTTAGCTTGACGAGAATGAAATACGATGTGCATAACCTCCCGATGGACTCCGTAGAGCATTCCAAGGTTGGTATAGATCTAAAAAGCTGAGACCACACGTGTTCGCCTTGGCATTGTGGCCAATAAGAATTGTTGGTGTGGATATTTCTAAAAATAGAATAGTGACTTAATGATATCGGAAGGTAGAAGGTTTCAATGGGAGGCTGGGGGTTCTATATTATTACGCGGCATATATCCTAATATCTATTTTAATAAACGTAGGATCATATTCATAAACAAGTAATCCCCTTTTAATAATGGACATCATTTCATCCCTTGACGATATATGGACATATGAAACCAAATATACTTTAAAGTTACCCGGAGAGAAAAAAAACGCAAACCCAAGAATACAACAATGTTCCAAGGTTCATAGTCCACCATATTTGTATCAGGCCAGATCTTATAGATTAAGCAGCTAATACGGTGTATACGTGGCTGCCACCTAATAGCATCAAATGAACTCTCGGATCCAATGTTGATAAATGACAGCCCCCACCTAATGACATAGAACAGGGCCCATTTATAGGAATCTTGCGCTTTACGTCCACTTTACCCATTTCGCAAAGGGGCCTTAGCCACAGGGAAATGTCTGTCAAGAAATAGGTGATGATCATGACGATGTCTCATAAGGCCATTGCTAAAGTAGCCCTGGGCTATGCTTCCGATATACTCTATGAGGATAAACTTCCATGCTGCTTGTAAACCTTAATACTCTAAATGTTTATTGCATAGAGAGAATACTATCTGAAGGGTCACAGAAGATATTTAAATTAAGAGGTTCAATTCCGACCTTTATATTTGTAGTTTTTGTTTAACACATATAAGAATAAGATGCTTTCTTAAAATAAGAGAACTGCTTTTCTGAAACGCAAACAGTGAGCGATCTAACAACAGGGTGTAGGTCTAAATAGGAATCTCGAGAATCCGATTCTATTGATAATCATGTGGGGAATATGTACGCCACAATACAAGTGCAAAGTATATCCTTGTCTGGACCTAGATGATAGTGGACACTACATGGATAAAAATGCCGCGATTGTCATTAGTTCGGCTCGTTTCCCTTCCTTGGAAGGATTCATAACCTAGGGGTTACCTCAGCTGCTAGTCGGCAGCAAAAATTTTACTTGGTCTTGATATAACGCGCAGGAATGCTTAATTGACAGGGATAGAGCAGGTTATACAATCCGGCTAAGTATTAAGCTCTATGGCCTAGTGTAGGTATACGAGCTGTGCCCCATACCAAGCCCTATGGTCACCGTACACTCGACTGCAGGCTGATATTGGGTTTTTAGCCCCAAACTTAATTTAAACTTCCCAAATGATCTACTCTATACAGTTGGATTCTTAAATGTAGGATATATTCGAATATACTAAGTCTCAATAGACTTATACTAGTTTTGACTAGATTCAGTTATGGGTCAAGTGCGTTACGAAAATCCTTGGAGAAAGCTCAAATAAAACCAGCCGATCGGCTGGGGCCCATGTCCCAGGTTTTGTTCTGGGAAATGGTTCTATACATTTTTTTTATACATAATGCTCGGCGTTGAGTGGGAGCAGGTGGGGGGTATCTTATCTATCTATTAAAATAAAAACGTGAGTTCCCGGGTTGAATCCGGAGAACCAAGAAAATCGAAGAATCAAATGACTCAATTCGAGTGACGAGCTTAGGCGGTTGATTCGCCCGCTGTCTTGGTCGCGACGTCCTCCGCGGTGACCTGCACCTCGTGGCTGTGCTCTAACTCAGATAGAACAATCCACGTGGGGACGAAGGCGAGAATAGTGATTCCAAAGTTGAGACCGATGCTGACGAAGTGGTTGGCATCACCTTCGGTTTGCATGGCCCATGCAACGGTTTGTCCCAGAGCCTCGAATCCGCGCAGGATTCCGCAGTGGTAGGACAAAGATGAGATATCAGTGCTGTACTGGCCAACAAGCCAGTAGAGGAATTGCTGGAAGGCTTGGCCACTGAAGGTCCAGAAGAAGATAAGCGCATACGCCTTGTTGAAGCCGCTTGTGAACCAGTCAAACATCGGGGGCTCGGGTGCATCGTAAAATTGCTTCTGCAGGATGGTAGCCCAAATCCACGTGCCAATGATCAGGGCAACGATGGAGCAGAAAGCAACTCGGGCGCGGGTCTTGATGAAGATGGATTGGCGATCAAGTAGGGTGGCCATGATGAATGAAGACGCGATTCCGGCGAAGTTGGTGAGGAACGAGGAGAATGCACGAGACCGGACAGTGAAGTAGCTGGTCAGCCACGTGCTCTGGAAACCGTTGTAGAAGTAACTGATGAAGAAGGCTGGGAGGAGGAGGAGCACACGGCGAGTGAAGATCAGCGAAAATGCAGCCTTAAATTCCTTGGCCCAAGTTTCCTTCTTGTCCACAATCACGAGAGAGTGGTCCTTGCGCTGCACCTTCTCGGCGGGACTGAGAAGGAGCGAAATCGGCAGACCGAGACACATGATGACAATGAAAACGATGTAAGTGGCAGCGCTGACCGTTCCCTTTTGGGAAGTCGATGCATTTAGTCCCAGACTGATGGCACCGCCGATAATCGGACCAGAAGACTTGGCGGTCTGCCAGACAGCAATGTAGAAAGCGCGCTCTTTGGGACTGGGATAACCAATGATGATAGCAGCCTCGGCAGCCCAGAAAAATCCAGCTGAGATACCGCACAGCGCAGAGCCGAAGAGCAGAAACCATGTTGTGGGGTGGTAGTTGTTCGTGTACAGACCGGCACCGTAGATCGGGTAACCGATAGCACCGAGAATCAGACCGTATCGAAGGCCAATACGGTTATTGATTGCACCAGCGGTGATACAAACAACTGCAAATAATCCATAGACCAGAGCATTTGCCGCAGAGACAGCATAAGGCTCAGCTGCACCACCTGCTCCGAGGTTGTTCAGTGCATCCCACATTCCAGGGGCGGTGAACGAGACACCACTAGCAACGGCAATTTGGAAAGGGATAGAGCGGTACCAAGACGTCCGAGACCGGACCGGTTGAGAGACATCTTGGATATCAGAAGTAACTTCTGGCTCAATGGGAGGGGCCATGGTAAATGTATGCCCTCTCAAGAATTATATGTATAAAAACAATTAAGAAACGACAGGGATCAGGCGAAGTTATATTGATAGAAAAAAAGTTAAATTAAATGTGGATCCCCCCAAATGTCGTGCTTGATGCCAAGCCTTGATCTAACCACGTTTTGCCCAGCTTCGGCACTTCCCAAGGTTTATCCCGGCTTAACAACCCTATAAAACGACTTGACCTGTGTGGGACTTATATATGAAATACTCACACCTTAGAACATTCTTTTTGCTCTTTTCGCGCGTCCCGATGCACAAGAAAGGCAATCAAACCAACACTTAAGAATTGTGCGATAGTGGTAACCAGGTTCGAGATGAATCCCGTTCGAAAATTTGGAGCAGAAATAGCTGGATACTGAAAAATCTGTGTCCACGCTGCCATGGCCTGACCGATCGCGTTCATGCTTGCCGTGACTATAGCACGTTCCTCGGCATCCTTGGCCATGATGATCGTTGCCCAACTCATAGTGAGCGGACTAATTGCTGTGATATGAGTCAATACCGCCATGTCTTTTTTTAATATGATAAATGACAAATAAGAACCCAGAGAGCCTGTGTTCGGAATCCACATACCGCCCTCGAATCCGGTGATGATAAACCCCACCAGCCGTCCCGTTTCCCCAACATTATAGACAACGAGCAAAATCACACCGACTAGGACGGGAATACTGGTTACCACGGAGGGAATCCAGAAATTGCGCAGACGGTCTGCGGTAACGCCAGCCATTAGCGCGGCCACGACAGACAGTGCTGTCGCGATTGTCGGCAAAGTATTTACCCGTGAGATGGAGTAGATGTCTGGTTTAGCCTTGAGATATAGGCTAAAAGGCGTCGAGTATGGTGTGAAGTTCTGATCCATTAAGGTCCAATGCATGACAAAGACATACCAATGCCATCGTCCAAAGACTCGCTGGAAGATGGCCCGAGAGACTTTTAGTTCGCTTGGCGCTGTTAGACCTTTTAGACGAATGTTTGCAATATCATGCTCGGTTTCTGTTAGGAAGTGTGGTTTTGAGCGGTGAGGAACATCGGGGAAAACGATATATCCGCTGGTCCGTATTAGACGAATGAACAGATGAACCGCTTCGGGGTAGGATATGACTTACACAATGCAAATAGGAATTGTGATAATAGTGCAAATAATAAACAGCCATCTGCCAACGGGTCAGTGCCAAGAACACCCCCAATCTTTCGTATCTCATTAGAGTCAAATACCTCCACCCCGGCAATCCATGCCTCCCCTCTAAATTTGTATAAGCAGCAGCCTGCAAATAACCCGCGAACATAGTCCCAAGTGGCGAAGCGACAAAGAAAAGCGCAACCCGACGCGTCACCTCGCCGGGCTTATACCACGATCCGATGACATAGATGACGCCGGTGAAGGAGCAAGACTCGCAGATCCCGATAAAGAATCGCATTGCGTATATTGTATTCAGGTTGTTTGCCCAAGCACAGCCGAATGTGAAAAGTCCCCATCCGATTTCCAAACTCGGCAGCGCGATGTTAATTCGCGTGCGTGTAAGCCAGTAGCAGGCTGGTATCATGGAGGTGCAATACGAGGCCCAGAATATCGCTGTTATGTAGTTCAATCCATTGCCGTGTAGATTGAGGTCTTCTTTCATGCCTCTGTGATAGGTTGTGAGTAACTGGGGTTGTCCGCTAGACTTGGGGTATTGCTGACATACGATACATAGGCATTTGTGATCGCCTGCTGGTCAAGGTATTTGGTGAAGAATGAAAGGCAGCCAAAGACTAAGATCATGACATCTAGCTTGATGATAAGCTTCTTTTCTGGGTGTGACATGTCTTTCGGGTACCATTTGGTATACGTAAGGAATCGGAGCCAGAGTCCATCTTGTGGTCCTTGGTTGGAATAAAATTCATAACCGGATACTTCATGAGTCGACTTGGGATCAATTGCATGTAAATTCTCCATATTTGAGTGACCTGCTTGAAGCCCGCACGGGATGAATAGCTGGAAGCGATAATCCAGGGCTAACCGAGTGTCTATATGACAGTGATCATCCATTGCTTGGGGTATTCTCTTATTTTTCTCGCATGTTGTCATTCTCAGCGGGGTGAAAGCGTCGATAACGGAAGATGCGACGATTATCACGCCTGATGGTGTCATATGTGCTTCCCTGCACCTGCTGGTCGGGTCCGGCTTGAATGCGTTCTCACTACTAGTAGCTGACCGCGGGAAATTGCCACCAGCTTATCTTCAACGCTGAGATGCATAACTTAAAAAGGAAATTTGGAAGAGTATGATGATTCAAACTTGTTTTCCGGGGGTTGAACCCTTGGCAAATATTGAGAAGGCGCGAGTTTAGCCGGGCTTGATTATCGAATATGAGAAAATGAAGATGAAATCTCAGAACTGGCATCCATGGATGATGCATAACGCTTGATGTGTATCGATGGGAAGGTAAAAACTAAAATAAATGCTCATAATCATACAATGTACACGGCTCTTCATCCTTAACTCTTGATGTCGATCTTGTACTTCTCGGCCCAGAATGTGACATTCTTGTCCACAGAGTAGACTTCTGTTCCGAAACTGAGACTGCCAAGGTAGTCGTCTTTAGCTGGGTAGTCAGCTCCTTCCATGTTGTACAGATCTGTGATGAGAGGATAAATGTCTCCAGTAAACCGCTCGACGGCCCCTTCCGGGACCCAGGACAAAACATGCTGTTTTTGTTGATTTTGACCGGTGTAAAGAGTGCTGATAAAACTGTCAGTCTATTCTGGTGGGAGATGTCAGGTACAAGTTCAACTTTCAACTCACAATTCTGTTCCTTGCAAGATCCTTGTGGTTATTGGGCGTCCCCAACCATGGGGCTGGGCCGTCACACTTGACATCCAGAACCAAACCATGACCTCGAATTTTGCCTCGGTTCCATTCTTGGCTTTGGCGGCATCGGCGTCCAAGAACATATCAATGGCGACGTTCGTGGCAAGGTTTTCCTGTTTCAATGCTTGTGTATCCGTTGACGCGGCGGTCTTATCACCCACTCCGTATGTCCAGTGCAAGTCAAGGTTCAACTCCGAGATCTGGTCCATCTCCTTGGGCAATACATCGTCGACGCGAATATTGGGGTATCCGTGGACAGGAGAATCCTGTGGGCCAGGGTCAAATTGCCAGGTGATGGAGAACTCGGGAGCCGTCTGAGCTGCGTAAGTCTGGTTGACTAATGTTGTGATCTAAGTCAAGATGACGCGTTAGTAGACCCTCGGTAAAAGTGCGGATGGGTATGTTCAATGCGTACATTCATGCAGAGCCCGTTTCCTGTCGATTCCGATGTCACACCCCATTGATTGGGATTCACTGTAGTCTCGGTCAGTCGTCGTTCAAGAGTCAACAGCGCCTGTGTTGGTAGTTCAAGGGTACCCACGGGTGTATTGTTCAGTTTTTGACGGTGGAGTGATTCCCCAAGACCGATCGCAGTACATAGTATGCTCTACACCGTTGTTCGTGATAGTGTGACCGTTGCCGCCGCCGCCAGTACTGCCGCCGCCTTTGCCTTTACCAGTATCGATACCATCGTCATTGTCCCCGGTAAATAGAGGTTTCTGACCCGTAGCGGCTCGGTGGGCATCAAGGCCCATAAGCGCTCCAACACTTCCCCCGACTGGTATAGCTATAAGGATCGCATTGACCAGCAGTCCTATACCGAAGACCATGACCAAAAACAAGAGATGTGAAAGAAATAGTAAAGTGAAAATGAGCTAGAATATGAGGCAACCTTTGAAAGGGACAAAAAAGCCAAGACAGCGAATCGAGGCGAAATTCTCGCTATCACATCGTAAGTGGACGAGATGCATCGGGTTAGTATGTTTTAGGGGCGATCTGGAACTAAGCGTTGACCACACAAGTTGTGTTGATAAGCAAAGACCCTCTTAAAGTGGGGGGTTCAAAAGTTAGCGTGGTAATGGTGTGCTCATATTTCATCTCAACGGAGTACTCCGTACATACAGAATACAAAAGAATACTATGTAATTACTGGATTCAGGTACAGATCAGGTACCCGAGGAAAAATTTCATTTGGTTGAATCTTATGATTGGTTCGATTTAGGTGGCAATCTGAGAAAATTAAATATAGGAACATTGTAATATTACTTGAAATATACAAGAAGAAAATAAATAACTTGATGCAAACAGCAAAAAAAAATACTATAAAGTCAGACACATTGCGTAAGATACCACTTGAGAAGTGAAACATTACGTTTGAAAAAAAAGGAAATCATAAAATCTATTTTTGCTCGGTCCCCTAATGCGGCAATCAGGGCGCATCTCGGTCCTTGGCGTGCACTAGTCTCAGGGCTTAACCATTGGGTTCTTTAGAGATCGCTGGTACCGTATCCTAATACTAGGAATGTAACCTTTTCTCTTCCAATCCTTCCATTCCAGGTCTTTGGGCTGATCACACTCGTTTTCATATCCCACATTCCTGTCTCTTGACTTTACATCTATAACTTATCTCGAAATGGATAGACGTTATGGTGAGGACCAGGATGAAAAGGTAGAGCTGAATACCTATCGAGGCTACCATTCAAACAACAGCTTCGAACATCCAGAGCCTTTCACACCCTCGGGGATCTCTTCAAGGCCTCTTACTCCAGTCAGACCGGGTCATTTTCCTACCGACGAATACGGCCAACCTGTTTGGCTTCAACCCACCGCTCGCATGTCAGGTCACTCTGATTCTTTTCAGAACTCATCCTGGGATTCACGAACGCCATATGATTCCCGGTCAGCGTCGCCAACTTTGGTTAGTACCATGTTTTTTCTTTCCCTTTTTCTTTGTTATTCTCTTTGTTCTCCTTGTTCTCGGTATAAATCGTGGCCTAATGAGTTTTTCTTATACAGTACCAAAACCATGGCGTACAAGAAAGTCACCAGAGTCTTGCTCCCTTAGTGAGCTCACCTGCTGCTCCAGCATTTGAAAAGGATTGGGTTAAATCTGGATCAATTGCTCGCATTCATGACCGTGATGATGCCGACATATGGAAAGGATGGAAAAGATGGGTGTTTGCCCTGGTACCTGTTCTCACATTGGCCAACACTGGAATCTACTTGTTCTATCTTGGTCTGAGAATTGCATGCATTATTATGGCTCAGAACGTTGCTGGGGTGTCATATGCTGGAGCTTGGGTCTTTGTTGCTATCGAAATTACTGTTGCAATCCCCTCCCTCATGCACAACTGCTGGACTATGATGGCTTTGAAGAAAAGAGGCCGCCCCAAGCTGAGATTGACCGGTAATGAATGTCCCACAGTGGATGTGTTTATTACTTGCTGTGGAGAGGATGATGAAGTTGTTATCGATACCGTCCGTGGTGCATGTGACCAGGACTACCCGCGTGATATGATGAGGGTTATCATCCTGGACGATGCCAAGTCTGCTACCCTTGAGGCTGCCTGCAATCAACTCGCCATGAATCACCCCAACGTCATTTACATGGCTCGTGAAAAGATTCCCGGAAAGCCCCATCACTTTAAGGCGGGTAACTTGAACTACGGTCTAGAGCAAGTCAACCTTTTGCCTGGAGGCGCTGGCCAGTTCATGGCCGCCCTGGATGCTGATATGGTAAATTACCAATACCCAGCCTACATTCAAATCACAAATTTGTGTACTGACTGACAATCTGCAGATTCCCGAACAAGACTGGCTTCGTGCTATAGTTCCCCACTTACTGGTGGATCCCAAGATGGCCCTTGCATGCCCGCCGCAGCTTTTCTATAACACCCCTGCTTCTGACCCGCTTGCCCAGAGTCTGGATTTCTTCGTGCATGTTATCGAGCCGATCAAAGATGCACTCGGTGTGGCCTGGTGCACTGGATCTGGTTATGTTGTTCGACGCGAGGCTCTCGAAGAGATTGGCAACTTCCCGCTTGGTTCCTTGGCTGAAGATGTCGCAACCTCGACGCTCATGCTTGGCAAAGGATGGAAAACTGCATACATCCACGAGCCTCTTCAATTTGGTACTGTGCCGGAAGACTTTGGTGGACATCTCAAGCAGCGTACTCGATGGGCGATTGGAACCGTTGACACAGCTGCTAAGCTGAAATTCTGCCTCTGGGGTGATGCCGTTAAACAGATGACCGTCGCTCAACGCTTTTCTGGCTTCCTCTATGCAACCCTCAGTGTCTACACCCTCCTATTGACCCTTTCTCTCTTCGCCATCCCGATCATCCTCTTGTGGGGCAAGCGTCTTGTCGCCTTCGCTACCGAAGAACAACTCCGCTGGCTCATTTGGGCCTGCTTTGCCGCAACCATGTCTAACCGTCTCTGCGAAATGGCCCTATTCATCCCAGCCGGCTACCACACCGGTCAACGAGGCTCCCGCTATCAACTTTGGATGTCGCCCTACATCGCTCTCTGCATTGTGCGTGCTTTCTTGCTGCCCACCTGGCTGGGTGGTCAAGCGCAAGCTTTCAAGCCAACGGGTTCTCTGGGTTCAGCCTTGAACGAGCGTGATGAAAAGAAGTCCAAGAACATGTTCGTCCGCTTGCGCGTGATCCTACTCAACTACATGGCCAGCTTCCATCTTGCCTTTGTCTACGTCACCCTCGTCGGAGTCGTCATCTCCTCTTACCGCTGCTTCGCCCAGAACACTGGCTTTAGAGATATTATCCTCTGCCTTATCACGCACGCTTTCTGGCCCCCACTCACCTTCCTTTTCATCTGCACTTCGCTGTGGACCCCGGTCTCCTATGCGATTGACCCACCAAGAATGCCAGAACGTGAAGAACTTCTGACTCGCGACCCTAAGACTGGTGTTGCGCACCCGACGAAGAAAAGCAAAAAGATCGCATTCGGTGGCCAGGCCGCTTGGTTCGAGCTTGAATATACGGTCGCCACCGTAGCCACGATTTTGGTTTTTGTCTACTCATTTATGTTCTGATCATGATTCCAGCGATTTTGGGAAAATTTTGTATAGCTAACGTGTCATATGCTTTCTCCTTTTTAAAATGTATCTATTTGGAGAGGCGTTTAGCTTCATTTCGGGTGTACTATATACACGCACTCTGCATATTGTATCCTTAGTATACAACATACATAAAATACATTCAAAAAGTGATCTATCGCCGAGGCTGTGTACATGCACCTGCATAAATAGTTACATGATATATGTAGATCACAATCACTTGGTCTAAGAGCTTGAATTTCGGACCGAGATACTATTTTATTAAATTTCTGCATTGAGGCCTGATATTGTCATGTCAATGTACCCCTGCTTTATCTTCTATTGATCGCCAATGCATTTTACCTAGCTTTATCGGACATGTTATTTCCCTCGTCACCGCTGTTTTGGTGACGTTGCCTGGTCTACTCCGTATTGCACATCACTTTAGTAAAGCTCGATGTGGACTGAAATACACAAGGATTCGTTACTAGCGCAGACGTGAGACTGCGCTTTGTTGGCTGAACCCCTGCTTGTGAAAGTCCACTCTTTCTCCGTGGAACGTCCTTTTCATGGGAACATCAATCTTTCTCTTTCTGAATCTTTCTGAATCAAATAGAGTCTGTCGAAGAACCTTCTGATCCCGATGCAACAAACTGGTGAATGATCTTGAATTATCTCAGAAAAAGCGTCACAAAGGCCAATATGACCCCTGCCAGTTCTCTACTGGTCTGGCCCCGGCAATGTCGGAAATGAATCATATCTCTCCATTGCCATTGGTTTATGTTTGGATCATCCCGAAGTTCTTCCGTTGGGGGGTTCCCGCAAAACCCAGTTTTCTATGCCCTTCACCTTGGACAATAAACAGACATTCAGGGTATACGGGGTCGGATTTATTCCGAACCGTCAACGGTTCGGGGCTTTATCAGCTGCCCGTCTTGCCACACTCCAGGACTCCTTTTAATGAGAGGTGAATTTGATAGGCTTCAAGCCACTCGGTCCGGTTTGTAGCCCACCGATCACCTGACCGGTCTCCATATATACCTCGCACCAAGAGATGGCCGTCTGATTGCAACGAGTCTCCAACTATGTCATGGGACTCGGATTCGAAAGGTCGAGATCCGGGTTATACGTCGGATGGATTGTTTCAAGCTCCGTGGTTCACGAAATGGCTGTGATTGTGGTGGCTATTTAGAAGAGTAGACATCTCCGAGTTCATATCTAATCAATAGCAACTTCAGAGTGCATCTATCACAGTTGAAACCTCAGTCTCAACATTCTATACTATTAAATATTCACAATGTCCTTCCTAAGGAACTACTTTGGTACCTCCGCTGCTCCAGCGAAGGATGAGAAGAAGCCTATCCGTGCTCTGCCCGCTTCCTGGTACACATCCCAAGATATGTATGAGCTTGAACGACGATCTATCTTCTCCCGGAAGTGGCTTCTTACTACACACAAGCACCGAGTCCACAACGCTGGTGACTGTGTTCGCTATGACGCCGCAGGCTACGAGTTCATCGTCGCCAAAGACAACAATGGAAAGATCAATGCTTTCCACAGCAACGATCTCTTCCCTGCCCACGTACACATTGACCGAAATGGATTTGTCTGGGTAAATTTGGATGCTAGCGATACCCCCGAAGTCGCCTGGAAAGACGATTTCGACGGTGTCGATGAGCAGCCCCGGTTCGAGCACTATAACTTCGAGGACTACGTCTTCGATCACACATGGGATATGGAGGGCGAGTTCAATTGGAAGATCCTAGCAGATAACTACAATGAGTGCTACCATTGCCGAGTCGCTCACCCCGACATCCCCACCATCGCCGACCTCAACTCCTACTATGTCAAGACCAAGGCCGGCCACATCCAACACTATGGCGCTCCACGACCCGATCAGATTGCGAAGGGTTTCCGCATCGCAACTACGTATTTTTGGCCTAATGCCTCTTTCAATATCTCGTGGGTATATCCCTGCCCATAAGACTCTATAAAAAGCTAACCTTGAACTTCTCTAGTCCAAACTTCTTCTTCATGCAGCGATTTACCCCAACCAGCCCAACTCAATGTGTAATGCGCTACGAAGTCTACCGGCACAAGGACGCCACCGACGAGGCTTTCAACCTTATCAGCGACATGTACAAACGGATCATGTCCGAGGACAAGTACCTGTGTATCAACTCGCAGAAGAACCTCAACGCCGGTGTCTTTGTCAATGGTCAACTCCATCCAGAGATGGAGCAAGGTCCGCTCCATTTCCAGAAGACTGTGCGTGAAGTCGTCACTGAACACCATGCTAAAGAGGAGGCTGTGGGCCATGAAATCTGGCCTGCGAAGCATAGTCTTCCTGGGGACATTGGTGTCAGCCAGGATCAGGATAGCATCGCTCTCCGTACAGGTGTGCACAGCTACAGTGCTGAAGTTGACACTTTCAAGGACTCGATGGGCGGTATCTCCACCGTAACGGCAATTGCTGTGTAGGACTGGTGGAGAGTCGGGAAGAGAGAACTCTTGCGATATATTTGATAGTTCCCTTTGGATAATGTTTGATGATGATGATTAAGATATTGGTTTGCTTTGGAATTAGCATTGACAGAATGAATACTTTTTATATTTTCTTCACCTCTGACCTTCAATAGTATGGGTGCCTTCAAACCTGACGCACACAGCTTGGTTGCTTCGTTACTGTGGTTCGGTCAAAGAAAGTGTATAAACAGAAATTCAAGCAGCACACTATATTCTAGATCAAGTCTATTCGCTAATAATTATATTTATCTATATGAGTACGCTGCCCCCGGGAAGAGATAAATAATCAATCAGCCCAGTCAACAAGGAACTCATCCAACAAATCATAATTAGCTCTTTCCCTCTCCCTCCGTCCCCTAAGAAGATCGGCAGCAATATCAAACTTGGGCTCGGGACTAGAACGACTCTCATCCTCTGGCGAAGAAGCACGACTCGGAACATTCAAACGTCGAATGACATTGTTGCTTCCCAATCTACCGCCCCCAGCAACAGGCTTGGTACTGGGCTCGAACTTGAGATCTACCAAATCAAGCTCGATCCCGGGTTGTCTCTTTGCGCCATGTACTTCGCGCTCATGATCTGATTCCAATATAGTTTTGGCACCAAGCAGAGACGACCTGCGCCCAGAAGTCGTCCTAGGATATTGATATGGCTCATGCGATGACACCGGCGACTCGGACCTAGTCGCATGGCTACCACCGTGATCTATGGAATCAAAGCTCCGCGGAGACCACGGTAGTCTCTGTTCAAGAGAATCATCCTTCACACGACTCCTACCACCAGCACGCATATAGCCCCTCTCAGGGACCCGAGAACATTGGCTATGCCCACAGCCATCAGTCAACAGCTCCGTGAGAAGGACATTTAACTGCGCCAAGCGTTTAACCTGTCTCGTCGGGATGGCGTCCTCAGAATACTGAGATGATTTCCTCTTACGGGACGTCCATGCCCCTGCCCTGATCTGCGTCTGCTCTGGCAATTCTCTCACGTCCCTCAGCCCAGACGCAAATCTTGGCGACTGGCTGGCCTCCATCTTCAGCGCCTCTTCTTCATCATAAGCGATAGCGGGTTTGAACCCAATGCCATTGTCGATGAGGACCTGGTTGAGATAATTGACGCGGCTTTCAAGGAATGCCACATAGCTACGTGGCACCTCCTGTTTGGTGAGAGGATCGTAGCCTACGCAGCGAACTTGGGCTTTCTCGCATGACTCACAGCGAGGGAGGCGCTGATCGCAGCGGTGTTTGCGGAGGCGGCATCTATTGCAGGCGGATACGCTGCGAAATGGCGGAGCTGAGGGTTCAGAGGTGGTTTGGTTTGTTTTTGGCTTCTTCCGATTTTGTTCTCTGGGTGGGGAGGTCAGGGTTCCGCTTTTCATTTTGGAGGGGAGTGGAGTGGTCCGGGGTGAGGTTAGGGAAAGCTCCAGCATTTATGTTTAAGTGGAAATAAGAAACAGCTTTATAAAGTGCTTTAAAGAGTACTTTATAGAGTAATTTATAGAGTACTCCAGTTATACCGGTGATATTCCGAAAGTAGGGTTTCCACTACGTTTAATAAAGTTCGAACTCCGGGTTTATGCCGGAAGTCAGTTGCCGGCCCTAAGCTCGCTGGGGGGGAGGGAAATAGCTTATAACGCTATAAAATGATATAAAGAACTTCAATAATTCTATCTAACATTCTCTACTACACTATTCTTGACTCATACGCAGATTCTACAAAGCAACTTGACCCTACTCTTTACTCGGCCGAGAGCTCGAGGGCGTGGGGCTATAGATAGGAACACTCTACGGAGTAGGGAGAATTAGAAAATTATACTGAATAATAGTTTCCTAAGGAATATCGATAATAAAAAGAGCAATGAAGACAATTTAAAGCTTTGGCACTGTTTCAGGTTGTACTCAGAGCCTTGAGCTCAAAAGAACCCCATAGCTCGGACTTCTTCCGTAGCCCTCACAACAGTCGATCAGAACATTTGCCCTATATCATGATATATCTTCTACTTATTACCCTTTGGTGACATCTTTTCTTTCTTGTCGCCTTCAGATGGCTTGGTCTCGCGAAGGAAAATCATTGTTTTGTTTGTACACTATAAGCTAAAATAGTGGATATATATATATGCCTTGGGCAAATCGAGAAATATACAAACTATATCTTCAAAGTGGTTCTATAGAAACAAAGCACATTTCTAAATGATCCAAGTGTTAAAGAAGGGTATTTTCCCGCTTAGTTTAGAACTCTCCATGTCCTTAATACGGGCGATAGCAGCGTTGCACACATCAACACACACCGGGCAAAGAACGTAGACCCCAAACGTACGGACATTGTAATTAGACATTGATAATAACAGCAACAATCTGGTCAGACACAATTTACACTGAACCGTTTAGTTCAGGACGTTATTCACATGCAGAATGCCATCCACTCATTCATAACGCCGATCCGGCAATTCAGTGCGAAGTGGTTTCCCGTTAGCATCTTGGGGCAACTCCGGACAGAAACCAGCAGGGTCTGTTCCATGCATCTCTCCTATATTCATATTTGGAGCCTGGTGTTGCTGCATGTTCGTTCCGTGAGAAACTGGCACGCCAGCTGCAGCCAGCTGGGTTGCCTTTAATTGTCTAGCTCTCAGCCAAACCAGTGCAGCCATTGCAGCTAGTATAGGGATGCCTATGCCAATTCCGACTCCAAGTGCAATCTTTGCTGTCATCGAGAGCCCTGTCGGTTGATCGGTTGGGCTAATGGTTTGTTGATCGCTCGAGCTGGTAGGGGAAGATGAAGGTGCCCGAGTTAAAGAGGTCGTTTCAGTCGATTCAGTCGATTCAGTCGATGATTTTCTGGTTATGTTGAAATAGGCAGAGGTGAAATCGACTGATCCGCCATAGTTGACCCAGAAAAGGAATGTGGGTGAATAATCCAGGTCAAAGCTGTAGAGCTGAACCGTCCATGTGAAGTTTGACACACGATCTTTTTCGTTGATTTGAGCTGGCTCTTGTCAGTTTTGTGGTTTCTTCTTGGTTTTGTTGACTTACCAAATACGTTGCCTCCATTGTAGGCACCTTTCCCTGATGGACTCTCCTGCCATATAGAGATGTTGTACACAGGTAGGTCTGTTTTCCATTCAATCACTTTCTGGTCACCCAATGTCCAAACAGGACTTTTTCCGTGATCGTATACAGGGTTGATCATATAATTTGTTTTCTCGCCGTTGACAGTCGAGATGAAGCCCGAGAGAAGGACAAAGAGAAGCGGAAATACCATTTTGACCTTCATACAGTGATATAGAAGAATTAACCAGAGGATGTTAGAGCTTCATTGAAAACATAGGAAAAAAAAGCTAGTGGCGGCCCATGGGGGCGGGAGTATGCGGCTGACAGGAAGTGTTAAGAAGCATTATAATTGGGGGTGTTAGGCAAAAAAGGGGGTTTGAGCGTATTAAAATGCACTATAACAGTAGAACTACCCCGTATATGGAGTAGTAGACAACGTAGTATACCCCTATTCGTATAGGCGATGAACGCTAAGCCCACATAGTACTAGGCTTTTTTTCCCCCATCCCGCTTTTCTCATTTACTTCTGATCATTTGATTTGCAATAATCTTTGTGATATATTCATGTTTCACTACGTCGTTTCCGCAGATCCAGGTACTTGGCAGCATAATCATTAGCCAGCACTGGATCGCCCGTAAGATGCATAACAGTGGCCTTCTTAGCCATCATCTCCGTCTGGCCCTTGATATCCTCAATTTCCTCGAAATGATCATATGCCGAATCAATGTAGCCAAGTGCACGGTTAATGTACTCTTTTCTTGTAGATTTCGAGTCCCGGCCCTGCAAGCTCCACAGTTCACCCGCCATGCCCATATTCGCATCTACGAGAAGTGAATACCCCTGTGCGATGAGGGCATAATGTTCTGACTCCAGGACCTGGGGCATGATACTCTCGACAAGTTCGCCCGTGGCTTCGAACTCACGGAGACTCAGTAACACTGTCGCTAGGGTACAGATCGCTTCCCAGAGGTCGGCGAGGACTTTTGACCGATGCGCAATATTGGCTGCACGCATGGCGAGGGAGAAGCCACGTTGCGGTTGGCCGGATTTGCCGAGGATTTGTGCTTTTAAACAGAGAATCCTGACTTGGGAGTGGACGTCGAAGTTCTCAGGTTGCATGGAGTGGGCCGCTTGCTCGACCATTCTCAGGGCGCGACCATAGTCGCCTTGGCGCATGGTAAATTCGATTGAATAGAAGGCTAGAAGTAGTCGCATGTCAAAGTCGCGGAGCTGCACTGCCTGGAGTTGGGATAGAATGTGTTCAACGGCCACCTTGTCGTCGCTGTGGGTTGTTAGGAATAAATCGGAAATCAGTATCATAGTTGGAGGGTACTTACCGACAGATTTGTCGTCGCAATTGCAGTAACCCTGAGAAAAAAGTCCAAGTATTGTTGTATCTGAAAGCTCGGAGCTTCTCGGGGTCGATCTTATTCATTCGTGTGAATGCCTCCTTGTAATTGCCTTTCTGTGCTAACTGTAGGTGATAAAAATTAGCATTTATGTCATATACGCTTCCAGAGAAAGACAGCTGACGTACTATTTGGCAATTTCGGAATGTGATTTTGACAAAATCATCGTGAGGTTGGCCCTCTGAATAGCACTCGCGGAATATCTCAGTATTTAGCCAAGCAAGGTGAGTAGCTCCTGTTAGCTGTATTAGCACCATCGCAATTACTATAAGTTTAGTATCATACCTATTCTGGCATACATGGAGCCCTGTAGCAGTATGTATGCACCTGTGGGAGTCGTCATGCCCTTTGTCACATTGACGTGGGACGCTCGCGCGAATGATTCGACAATTGATGCAAGACTCTCTCCCTATTCACCATTAGCATCAACTTGGTCGAAGGGAAACAGGAATCCTTACTTGCTGCATCTCTAACTTAGCTTCGCTAAGTAATGTGGTACTCATAAGAGACCACATGTCAGTCTCCTTGGACTTGGCCTTGAGGAAAGCGAGGCCCTCTTTTTCATTACCCAGCATACCACTGTTCTGAACCTCCCGCATCTGCTCTGGAAAAGCTTTACCGAAGTGATAAAGCCAGCTCATACAGAAGTTCAAGCAGTTCATATCGTGAGACTCACGAGCAATTGCTACGGCCTCTTGCACGGCTGAGATAGCTTCATTAAAACATTCAAAATCTGCTTGCATGATAGCCAGGTTCAGAAGAGCAAATTGATATGCACTTCGGTCCAGATTTGCGTGCATCGTGTAGTCGAAGTAACGGTGGAGATTGTCAAAGGCTGAGGTATAGTCTCCAGCTCTCCAGGCGTCAAGATATCTGGCATTTTGTCAGTCACAATGTACTTCGATAATGAAGTATACAACAACGTACTCTAGATAATACATCATTACTGGGACTGAAGATTCTGAGGTCATGATGCGTTTCAGCTGAGCCCTCATTTCATCCGGAACTCTGCCTCCCATTCCTGCGTCCGTTAGCACATGGGCATGACATGCTGGAAAAAGAAGTGCATACTTTGCAGTTCACCGACTTGGAACTCGATCAAGCGCTCTGCATCCTTAGCGCTGACCTCTACCCCATCATCCTCATCATCTTCGATGTTACCATACACCACCTGTGAAAGGTGACTGGTTGAATCCAGTCCCAGGTCGCGTAGATTGACATCAATGGCAATTTCGTCAGCCTCTCGATGTCTGCGACTCCAGTAGCTGTAGGTAGGTAGACGGTATTTGACAAATCCCGCCCAGAGCTTCACAGAATCATGAAACTGTAGCCGCGTATATTCAAGATAAGCTCTCCGTATGAAGGCACCAAGCGGCGAACTCCTGGACAAGCGCATGCGATCATCCGCCACTGGTGCAATTCCGTTATCCCTGTCATGGATCAAGTCCTCGCGTGACTTAGCCAGGAGCGACGGGATAACCTCACCGAAGAAAGTTTCCAGCGCATCGAGCGAGTCGATGGACCAGAGGTTCCTCAGAAACAAGTCCCAAAGTGTGCGCCCAGGAACAGAGGACCCATGATGAGATAGACATTTTTCAAGCTCTGAAATCGTCGGCAAGTAATGCTCCTCCCATTGCTTATCGGCGGCATCTAGTGGGAACAGACCCGCTGTGAGGAACGAGAGGACGTCGATAGCAGAAGAATTAGGCACGACGCCTTCAGTGTAGAGAGTGACCAGACACAACAAAGAGACTCTCCAGGGAGTCAAATAACGCGTCATTTTGACTTCGCTATGGCTGCCACATCATTGCTGTGTTCTATCAACAGTATTGTTCCAAGGGTGCGCGTGTTGAGGATGATTGGAGACCTCAGGCTGTAAGGCTGCAAGGCTGCAATGCGGGACACAGGAAAAAAAGATGACGCATAACTACTTTCCTCCGCAACTCATCAATTGAACGATTTCGCAATGGCTCAAGCTCTGACAGCTACAGATTTGCAGGGTGCTTTGCCCCTTGTCGCCAGAGGCAAGGTCCGCGATCTCTATGAAATCGACGATAAGACTCTTCTCTTCGTTGCGACTGACCGCATCTCCGCCTACGATGTGATCATGGAGAATGTACACACCTCCTCACGCCACAATTGTCTAATGAGACTGCTTGCTAATGCCAGTCCTTCTGCGATGTAGGGTATCCCTAACAAGGGTGTTCTCCTCACCCTCTGCACGCAGACGTGGTTCAAGGCCCTGACGGAAGCCAACCCCTCCCTCCGCACCCACTTCATCACCCTCGACCTTCCGCCCCAGATCCCAGAATCCCTCCGCCCTGTCTTGCAGAATCGCAGTATGCAAGTGCGCAAGCTACGCATTCTCCCCATTGAGGCAATCGTCCGCGGATACATCACTGGCTCGGCATGGAATGAATACAAGAAGTCCGGGACTGTGCATGGAATCCAGGTTCCCGCCGGTCTGCAGGAAAGTCAGGCTTTCCCCGACGGACCTATCTACACCCCCAGCACCAAGGCGGAGCAGGGCGAGCATGATGAGAATATTCATCCGGATCAGGGTATGTTTTTTTCGTCGAATCTATTGGCTTGAGATATCTGTACTAGATGTATAGTACACAACGGGACGAGACCTCCACCTAACATGTCATTCACAGCTGTCACCATCTTGGGCGAGCCCTACGCCTCGACTGTTGCCAAGATGGCCATTGAGCTCTACAAGACAGCGCATGAGTACGCCCTCGCGCGGGGTGTAATTATCGCCGATACCAAGTTTGAGTTTGGAGTCGACGAGGAAACTGGTGATGTCGTGCTGGCTGATGAAGTCCTGACGCCCGACTCCTCTCGCTTCTGGCCTAAGGAAACTTACGCTGTCGGTCGCGGCCAGGCCAGCTTTGACAAGCAGTTCCTGCGTGACTGGTTGGTCAGTGAGGGCCTTAAAGGTAAGGAGGGTGTGCGCATGCCTGATGATATTGCGCTTAAGACAGCGGAGAAGTACAAGGAGGCCTGGGAGAAGCTCACTGGCGGTAAAATCTAGAGCGAAGTATATATATGATGCTAGGTTAGAATTTGTGTTTTATGATTGATTCGGGACGAGAATGAAATTTAAGTGTCATGTCCAAAGGCTGTGGCCTATTGTGAAGGCAAGCAGGGATTATTATACACATATATGGCCTTATCTTTACTCCTCCCACTCAGACTTCAACCCCTTGAGACCCTTCTTATTTGAATCACGATCCTGCTGCTTGCTCTCTTCCTTGACGGAGTTTTCCTTGGACTTATCAGTCCAGCCAGAGCTAACACCTTCATCAAGAGGCAGCGCATTATCACCACAAATACGCCGCTCCTCTTCAATCTCCGCCTCACTGATTCCATTCGTTGCCCAGATCTTATGAATGCGTAGATCAAACGGCCCATCGACACGGTCCGTGAGACCAATGCCAATACTCTTAACACGCTGCTTAGTCAGAGAAGTCTGAGGCTCAATGACAAAGCCATGGTTCGTGCGCACAAACGAGTTGAAAGGCAAGAGAACAGTCTCCCATCCATTTGAGCCAGACGTCGTTGTGCTGGTAGACGTTGAAATGATCGTCGATTCAGGTGGGATGTCTGAAAGTGCAGCAGGCACGCCGCTAGGATATAGATCTTCAATGGCATCGGGTGAGTCTGCCTGGAAGTCATATTCCTCTTGCAATTTTGGTGTGTCGAGTAGACGGTGGTGTCGCGTGTATAGTCTGTGTTGGTGGATATCCGTCTCGACGACCGCGTCTGTCTGCACGTTGACCGTGTACCTACGGCCGTCGGACTTGATACGTAGAGCAAGGTACGCGTAGGGATCGACGTCCCAGAAGAGCCGACCGAAGAGCCAGAAGCCTCGATCTTTGTTTCGGAACGCGGCGTAGCCTTGTTTGTATGTATTAGTTTTCTTTTCTTTTTCTTCTTGTTCTAGACCGTCTGGGTGTGTCGCTACATAGGTAGCGAGTAGTACATACCAGTTCTTTCAACGCGCCAGTTGTCAGGAAGCTTGGTTGAGATGCTACCGTGGAAGCGCGCATGCGAGGGAGTATTTGAAGAAGGTCCAGCAGGTTCGTAGTCTAGGCTAGCTGTGCTAAAGCCTCCTACTGCACGGTCGGCCATGGTCTTGCATTCTTTAACGGTGCTCTCATCTTCGAAGTTCAGGAGAGTATAAGGTTTAGTCGGGGTGTGGAGGGCTTCCGTGTTCCAAGCTGCGACAAATTAGTTGAGGTGCAAGACTGACGACATTGACACAACCTACCAATCTTTGATAGACGGCCGAACTCATTGGCGCTGCGTTTGAAGAATCCGCCTTGGGCTAAACGTCGAGTTGGAAACATTATGTAGAGAGTAACTTGTAGGAGATACTTAGATATGAAGTTGGAGTTGCTTAATATCACCTGCCCAGCCCAGGCCCCGGGGAGTGTGCTTCCGAGGTGGCCGATAAGATAAGTGTTTGAGATGTTTGATTTCAAATGTTCTCTTCTGTTATACTTCATTTTTCATTCCTACAATATACTTAATTTACATCTCAATAATATACACGTCATTATGTTGCAACTTACCTTCCAGGGATTCGGAATTCCGGATTCAAGATTTATGCTAAGTGCACAAGCCAGCATTCCAAAGACTTCAAAAGATCTTCCTCTGTCCCTGTTGGGATTAGTACTGTTATCAAATGCCATGCATATGCCGATGACTGACGACATTCTGATCCTCAGGAGCATCTCGTATACCTCGCCAGGCCGACACCTGAATCGGCATGACGTGTATTTCCTCTTTAGGAAGGATATCCAGACTTCATGTCCAACCTTATGTGAAGAGTCATGGATAATATGCGCGATAAACCTCTTCATGAGGGCCCGGCTCCGATTACTCTGCTGGATATCCGATTGTGAACCACTGGTTTTGTGGTCTCCTGGATTGCAGAGCCCTGGTATGGCTTGATCTCTGAGTCAAAATCGCTACATACCAGTGCTATGAGAGCGCTCCCCAGAAAAATACCGTGGTTAGCTTCATCCACTTGTCTCTAATGAGAAAGCCTAGTCCGGGACATCCAATATTTTCAGATTTATCCCAATATGGCGACGGAGGTAGTGTTCATAGAGGATATTCCCCGTAGTTTTGATATTTCGTTCTTTTTTCTCTTCCTTTTCTATCATACATCCATGCCACGCTCGTTTACCGCAATTGTTCTTTACCTCAGTACAAACATATAGTTACTCTCGTTTATCATATACCCCCCCAATGGCTATTCATTACGTTGAACCGAATGGCTCTGCGCCTAGTATCTCTAGGCATAGTACCCCGGAGCCTGCTATCCCAAAGCAAGATATCCACGAACATACAGCTTCTGAATCTAGTGTCACCGGATCTAGTAGCTCGAAGCCTAGTACCCCAGAGCAACCTGATACGAAGCCAGTCAAGCTAGTTACAGTTGAGCCAGTCGAGATAGTTACAGTCGAGCCAGTCGAGCCAGCCAAGTCAGATAAGCCAACCAAGGCAGCCAAAGCAGCCAAGGAAGCCAATCCAGAGGAGGAAGAGAAGCCAGTATACCTGCCGCGTGCGGACCGAATGAATCAAACGCCAACCAAGGGAAATGCACAGGGCCTCTTTCTTCCTGATTGTTGTGTTTTTGTGGGAAAGTAGGTTTTACCCTGTCTAATCGGATACTATATACTGACTAAGTTTAGCCTCTCTATCAAAGTTTCTCTTGAAAAGTTGGAAGAAGATCTTACGGACATGATCTCTACATTTGGCCGGTGTCATGTCAAGATCAAACTGTCACAGGGGTTGAAGAAGCTACCTGTTGCATTTGTACAGTTTGAAGTAAGTGATGATTTTATACACAGATGTTTCATATACTAACATACGAAATAGGACATCATAGCAGCAAATTCGGCATTGAAACAAAATGGAAACCTGATGCTCCATAATCGGGTGTTGAGATTGGAATCATCTAGGGCTAGACGTGAGTTCCCTCTTGCACACGTTTGCACCTTCACATTTTCTCTTTGCTCACCTTCTCACCTTCCCCTTAGGAACTGCCCACTTCGGTTATCTCACTGACAAACCCATCGATAAATCGATCATTGTCGATGCCTTGAAGGGACTTGGTAGTCTCGAAGGCATAACTATTGAAAACTTTGTTAACCCAGAAGGTGTCGATTCTACATTTGGGGTTGTCACTTTCGCATACCCTGACGATTACGCAGATGCCCTTCAGGTAAGTTGACTGTCTAATTTTGTTCTGACCCTACTGACCACTTGATAGCATTTTCAAAACCATCCCGAGTATTATATGACCAGACCCGCCATGGACCCCAACGACAACCAGCTTCCCCATGATTACCCTGCTCCGGGACATAGGCCTTCTAACCAGCCTCCCCCAAACCGTGGCAATGGGAATCAGCAGCGGTACAACAATGGCCGCAGATCTTTCCACCGTCCATGGTACAGCGGCAGCAACAACAACAACAGAGGTGGATTTCGAAATCCTCCCGGTGCTGCCCCGAGACACCAAAACACACCCTTTGCAAATCATGGTCACAGTCAAAGCTTCAATGGCCAAGGCCATTCACCTCGCGGTTCTTTCTCTCAGAACTACCCCGGTGGCAACGGTTTCCCACATAACAACTTCAACCAGGGCTATCCTAACCCTAACTATCAAAACTTCCATGGCAACAACTTCCCCCCGAACTATCCCAATCAGAACTTCATAGCTGCGGGTGCCTTTCCCAATCCTCCTGTCATGTTCAACCAAATTCACATGCATGATGGCCCACCCCCACCATATCATACTGATTACACTGCTATGCCACCCCCAGGATTTCCTGTGTTCTTGGGCAATCAACCCTACCAGCATTCCAATCCACTTCCTCCGATTGTTGCTCAGCCTCAGCCTCAGCCTGTTGCTGGTCCTGTTCCCGGCCGCCGGCGATTGCCCCCTCGTCCCGACTGTCCTTTGATCGTCTCCAGCCAGCCCCAATTTGACACCGAACATCACCGGCAGCTCTACTACGAACCCTACCCTGCTGATGAAACCTTCGCGAATATGCAGTCAAGCTGGGTCGGTCCAGGTATTTGTTTCGTGCAGCCTGACTACACCCAGCCCTACCCGCCCAACGCATATCCTCCTAGTCGTCAGTCTAGTATGGAAAGTCAGCAGCACAACAACTCGCCGCCTACAGTCGACGAATCCGAATCAACCTTGGTACAAACTAAAGTTCAGACTCCTGAGACTGAGAGGGGTCGCCAGCTAGTTCGGCCATGCCACCCCAACACTGATGGAGGCTCTGACATGGCTTCAATGTCTGCTCCGGTGTCTGCTCCTGCTAAGACCCAGAGTGAACCCATTTCTATACAAGCTCTGGATAGCTTGCAGGAAAGAATCAACATGTTAGGGGCGAGCAAGTCTGCTGATACTCAGCCTGGGCCCAGTGTACCTGTGAAAGAGCTTATTGAGTCTCAGAACCAACTCACTGAGCCTGATAATGAGCCCAGCCTGCCTCAAACTGAATCTGCCTGTGACAAAACCCATAATGAAAAGAATGAAGAAATGATGAATGAAACCGAGCCATCATTGGGAATTGACACTAAGAATGAAGAAAGCGGCGGGTCATACTCCGAGACTGGCCCTAAGACTCCAGACACGGATGTGTCTCGGGAAGGCGCTAAACTTCAGACTCCAGCCCAAGCCGATTCACTGAAATCCGCCGATACAAAGACCCCTGATACGACTGAAACCCTTAAGCCAGTCGATAAGACCACTCCAAACAAAAGCAAGTCCCCGGAAATGACCACAGCCACACCAACCAAGAGTGGCAGCAAAAGACTCGAGCCCGCAGTGCCAGACAACAAACATCTACTGGCCCGTCATGCTTTCCAGCATCGCAAACCCCTCAAGAAAAAGTACCAACCTAAGACCGACACCGGCAAAACAGTTGAACAGTACACCCGTGAGATAAATGCACAGCGTGCCTCGATTGACCCTGACTTGCGCGTCCCTGAACATCTCTTGCAGGAAGTCATCCAAGAACTAGAGAGTGAGCGCAGAGATAATATACGGAAGAGCCAAGGTCTTGGTCCCAGTGATAAGAGCAGCGTCAACAGTGGTACTTCGAAGAAGTAGGTTTAATATTGACAGATGAGTGAGATGGGGATGTTATTCGGTGTTATTTGCTTGCTATGACGGGTCGTTTTATTCTTATCTTTTTCTTTACTCTTTCATGTTTCTTTTATGGTCAGTTCTTTATTCAAATTTGTGAATTTGCTCTTGAAGGGAAAGGGGAAAACATCAAAAAAAAAAGGGAGCATGTCACTATGAACATGCTCGAGTCAATTATCAAATTTCAAATTTCATTCTGCAAGCTTGCTTCTTCGTAACTGTTTTTAGATGCATCGTATAAATATTTTAAAAGCAATGGTGAGAGTGCCTTTAGCCATATACCATAAGCTGTCCCGATGGCGTTGGAGTATGAATATACAAAACCTTCCAAAGTTGATAAAGAATAAGACTGATCGATGATAATATGATCTGATTTGATCAACATGGCCGAACGGCAACTTGATCCCTGTCCGTGTAAACGCCGAGACCGAAAGCCGGTTTATATGTACAAAATGCTTCTCGCCAGTTTGTATGCCATAGAGACAAACCAAATGCCAGTGGGGGATAGTGATGCATGCCGAATAAAGAAGATGAAACAAAGATAAATGATTCCCATATGCAAACGCTCATGGTTAAAATAGATGGGGGTCGTAAGGGTAGAGAGGATATGCTGTGAGTGTGATAGGAGGTGAAGAGCTGAAAAATGATCAGATATCAAAGAAGATAAACGCTAGGAATAGAACCGAGGGGTAAATATGACAAAAAAGAAAGGGAAGGAAAAGAGGAAGTGATGTATAGGAGTGTGACCTCTCCCAATCAATTAATGAGCCTGTATCAAGCTCTCACCCGTCTAGCATCGAAAAAGCCCAGGTTGACAGCTGTATCATTGACGCCCAAAAACGGCGCCGCATCCTCAAGTAGTTCCCAAGGACGGACTGGATAGGGACCGACAACACGACCACGGTGTTGAAGACGAAGTCGATTAGCCATACAGTTCGAGTCAGGTAGTCCGGTAGACAGTCCCGACGCTGCTGGGACAGACTGCTGCGCTGTAGATGACCCCACGATAGAGAAAAGAGCAGGTGATTGGGTCGGAGTTGACCCAGATGCTGCCGGTGAGGGGGCTGAGACTTGTTGGGCATTTGCAGAGTATTGGTCTATCATTGGGCCAAGGAGATACAGGAAACGAGAGTCATTCATAAACGGAACGAACGATGGGCATTTCTCTTTCAGGAACCGTGCACATTGCTGGCGAACTTCTTCTGGGAAGACGTCGATGAGGGAAGCCGCCACGTCTAGGGCGTGGGTCTGTAGGAGTATTCCTGGGCAGGGACGGAAGCCTTCGGCTGGGGCCGGGTGGGGGAAGTAATCGGCTGCGGGGAATAGACGAAGGACATCTCCGGGGAGGCGCGAGAGTGCAATGCAGAATATTGATGTCAGCAGTCGGAGCTGTTCGTGCAGAGGGTTGGTTTTGAGAGCTGCGGGCGGCTGGGCGAATGCAGACCGATGGAGAACGATCATCCTCAGCAGAGCGGAGAACCAGAATGCAAGAGCACGCTCGAAGTTTGCACGACTTGTGTTGGTCATACCCTTGGCGGGGGCACTGCTGTGCATGGTAATGATCTTGTGGAGAAGAGAATCCATCTTTTCCACAAGCACTGGAGCGACGGATGGAGCTCCAGAATCAGGGATGCTACTCGCAAGCTCTTCGATAATGGTAAGATACATTTTGGCAGTTTCCAATGATCCTAGCTTGTCAGGCGAACCAGGAATCTCGCCTATTGGCTCTTCAAGCAGTGGGATGGAGAAAAACTCCTTCTCGGCCCGTTCCCGGATTTGACGTACGGCATCCGGGCTCATCAGTGCAACTAGCTCAACCCAATGAAGTCTGTGAGCACGACAGTCTGATACAGCAGTTTTGAACATGGCATCAACAATATTGGTTCGGTCTTCAGACCCTGAGTCCGCATGGAATAGAACCTGGAGCTTCAACTGGCAAAATGGGAGTGAGAAATCGTCGGTCATACAGGCAAGCTTTTCGACCTTTGAGAGAACTGAGTGGCCGTTATATTGTGACTCGACGCCCAATAAAAGGTCAAGCGCTTTCTGGACAATACTCAAAGAGGCTGGATATTGGTCGATGAGCTTCTGAATACCATTCTGTGCCGCACATTCGGGGTGTCGCACAAGAAGATCACGTAACAGCATGACTATTGAGTGCTCCAGCTTGCTGTGCCCAATGGAAGAGTCATCAGTTTTAGAGGATGCGGCATCACAAACAATTTTGAGCGCCTCCTCAGAGTTTTTATTGAGAAATTCCTGCTGTGCCAACTGGAACCGATAGGACACCAAATCAAAGGACTTGCTATCTTCGTCACCAGAGACAAGAAGTTGGACAAGGTCAGCAGGCAGTTGAGCTGCATTGGGGACTGTTGCTGGCGTAGAGATTGTGAGTCTCTTTGCAAGGGCCAAAAAAGCTCTGATGGTAACGCATCCGACACCGATTAGGGGCGGTAGAATCCGCAGCAAGATAGTACGTTCAGGAGATCGCAAATGACTACAAACCCAACGGGCAAGAATGCCGTCGAAATGCTTTGGATGGAAAGACCTGAGCTGTGCAAGGTAACGGCAGGTGTCATTTGCTGATAGGTTTGCATGGCCATTATCAGACTCCAGATGCTTTATGAGTGTGTTGAAAACCGCGTCCAGAGTGGGCTCATCCATGACATTTCCTGATTGCAAAAGCTGATCTAGCTTCTCTCGGAAGAATGGGTCGACACCACCAAAACCTTCTGGAATGTGGTCAGAGACCGGAGAAGATGCGGCCACGATTGACTTGTTCTCCATGCGGGAGAGATCCTGGCGAAGAATGGACACAGTGTTGAGTTCACTCGGGATGCGCAAACCAAGTTCGATTAGAGAGAATATCAGATCAAGATTCGGCATGCCAAGCCTCTTAATGCCAGCATAAGCATCAATGAGTCTCCGGAATAGATCAGTGGTGGCGCCAATCACGCAAAGAGAGTCAAAATGGCAGTTTGTGGTATCTGCAACCGAGGCGAGAACGGTGCTATCACCACAAGTAGACGCAAACTTCAGCACATCTGCTAGCATTGAAATGTCTCCAAATGATTCAAGAGCATCCCGGACGATGTAAAACTCGGCGGGAGTCAGCGCAGACACCACAGAGGCAATTCCCACGGGAAGCGCTGCTCTGTTAGTTGACCTATTAGCGAGTTAGCAAGATATGTTATGACGGGTTTGAGAAAGAAGAATTCAAATGCTTACTCTGCGCTCCGATTGTGTTCCGCAATTGCTCTGCGTAACCACTGGCCAACCTCGGCTTTGACGGCCCAAGGCAGGTTTGATGGCAACGAATCTAATGCCATTGATGCAGATTCGTTGACGCCGAAGATCCCGGGTAGACGCTGGCTGATGACATCTTTCACGCTATCAATAGCTGCGTTCTCTTCCGAAGCAGAGAGCCCAGTACGGGCCAGCAGAGTACTCCGCAAGTTTCCAACATGTTCTGGAAGACGGGCAACAGGGAGTTGCGCTATCAGACCGATATCGATTGGCAAGTCCTTCATCTACACATCTGTTAGTAACCACTGTAGTTTAACATGTAAATCCGATCCTACCTTGCCCCCCTCGGCGGAAGATGATCCATTAGTGACGCCTCGTGCCATGAGCCATTGAAGATAGCGGCCAACTGAGAATGTCTGTGACCTGACAAGTTCAGAAACGACATGATAGATTTGATCCATGTTGAGCTTTTGGTTGTTCTGTCCACGTGATAGAAAGGCCAGTATGTGACTGTCTATATCGACGCCGGCCAATTTCCATTTGCGGAGCAGGCGAACACCAATGTAGACCCGGCATAGACCGTGGCGGAAGGGTGTAGAGAGCCATTCCAATAGCTTGAAGACCAAAATAGCCTTGTCATCAAAAGCGTCGAGATACCCAAAGATAGAAGAAAGATCCTGAGAGGAGCGTATGGAATCAAGAAGTCGGACGATGCCTTGATGGGGTGAGCGATGGGTTGTTTGTTTCGAGTGTTTGGGTCGTTGCACTCGAGCGTTGCGTTCTGCGAGGCTCTGAAAGAGAGCTTTTTCTGCTTCGTTGCCCAAATCAAGGGCAGATGACACCTGGTGCTTATACATCTCCCAAGAATTTGGGAGTATCATCGAGGATGTATGGTCAAGAACAAGCTTTTTGATAAAGCGAGAAAGACGGTCGATAAGAGGTTGAAGTTGAGTTAATTTAGCTTCAGTTGCCTATTACTAGTTGTTAGTATTGACTGCAGGCACAAAGTAGTCCAAGTCAGTGAAAATTGAACGCACCTGGCGCACTTTTTGAAGTAGCAGCTCAGCTAATCGTCGTCCCCTTCGCCGATATCGCATGATACTATTCCAATATATTCCGAGCATCAAAATCCAGATTGGAATTGTGCCAATAGAAGCAGCCTCAAAGGATGACAAGAACCATTCAAGGAAATGGTCATGGTCCAATAAGTTTTCGGAGAATAGACGAGCAGTCAACCCGACACTGGAGATAAAGGTTAGCATACTGCTTAAAAATTGGGATGCACGATCACGTACGCATATGTCATCTTCGCCTTCCAATCTGAGGATTTGGGGGCAGCAAACACCCCTTCAACAAATTGCTGGACATTTGTCGTCCAGTCTCGGACCCATTTCGCCTCCAACCCAACAGCCAGAGCACCACTCGTGCCTTTTCGTTTGAAAGCACGGATTTCATTCGCACCCACACACTTTGCTAACCAAACAGCACGTGCGACAGGGATCCATTTACCAAGACACTGGTCCAGCAGGATCTTACCGCGGATACCATGGGGGATGGTTCGGCTCAACCTTCGCAGCGGAACAGATGGGTTGGCGAGGTCTCGAAGCCACGCCTCGCGCTTATTGTCGGTGAGCGTAACTCGAGGTGGCGGTTTGAAGGTTGATGGAGCGTGAATCGTGTTCTGGGTTTGTCGTTTTTCTAACGCCGCAGCGAAGACGGATGAAAGCATTTGCAACCCTGTGCGGTTCTTAAGTTGCGCATATAGTGCCGGACGTGCTGTGTTCGATTCATTCTGGGAAACCTGTGTACGGTCATAGTACCCTTGTTTCGCGGTTTGTTCGCTCAGGACATCCTCCTGGTGATTTCCGGTCCATGGGGCAAAATCGGCGGGTTCTAAAGCAGGCGGTTAATCTCGATAGCTACAATCCAGGAATGGGGTGTTCATTTACTTTGGCCTTTGTATAGCGGAGCGACGGAAGGGATCTCAATGCGATACGGAGTCGTCTGTACAGCCCCAACTGGGGAGCTTTCTCTCGACTTCACGACACCGCTTCCCTCAGGTTCGGCCACAAAATTGTTCTTCCAAGGCTGAGCTGGCAATGGAGGTGGAGACGGAGGCTTAGATCCGGCAGCGCCATCGCCCCGGTTCTCATTGCTTGGGAGCTCCGACACGACAGCCTGGAAGGACCAAACCGGACGGCCGCGCCATGAGACTGCAGGTCGCGAAATTGCACTTCCAGGAGTACTCCTTGTTTCCCCCACGGCTGCACCAGTATCCGTATTCGATCCACTCGGAACATCCAATCTCGGTCGTTTGGGGGGCGGTTCTCTATCATGCGACTCTGCGGTCAGGTCAACGACGACGGGTTGTCGAATTGGCTGTAGTGAGGCTGGCCTGTCAGGGTTGTCATATTGTCCCATCTGCGCATTATCAACTCGTCCGGGACCATTGAAGGTCCGCAGAGGGTGGCCCCACGGTTGGCCGCCGGCAGAGGAATGGGGGATCATCTTAGGCTCATGATGTATCCAAAGGATGAAGTATTCGGGTCATTCAGGCGACGAAAGAATTTGCAATATTTAAGAATGGATGTAAATGTGCTGAGATTAGGAAGTTGGCGGGTTGGCAGGGTGAGCTGATTGACCGGGGACCGGCGACTCGGGTATCTGGGGGGTGGGAAACACAAATACTCCAAATGAATAATGGTTCAATGTTATACGAAAAAAGAAAACAACCTTACTTGAATATAATATATATATATATATATATATGTATATATATATATTTTGTAAAGCAAGTTCAAGTTCAAGTGTTCACTTTAATGTTCAGATCGGAGTAATGAGCTGACAATACATGCGTAGTACTTCGTACATAAAGTACCCCGTAGACGGGAGTACATTCTTTCCTGAGAATATCTCGGAGTTATTTGCTCAGTTTTCACTATCTACATGTCTATTCCCCTCATATGATCTTCCCGGCAAGTCCGGATTTATTCCCAAGTGTCTTTTTTCGTTACACAGTTCAAAAGGTCCAAGAGCGCAACAGGCCGTTCCCATTCTCTTTCGGCATAATCCCCGTCCAAATGGGCTTTATAGCGGTCCCGGATATTTGCATTTGACTCATGTTTGACTCGGTGGACCGAATGTCAACTAGATCCTAAAATAGGAAATATGCTAAGCGCAAGGGCTTTTAGCAGTAGGCTACAGAGTAACCATGTCATGTAGGAAGTGATGCACAGCCATCACACTGACCTGCAGCCAGACAATTACAACCCTGTATGTTGGTTTACTCTGTATTATCTATGTATTGTATTCATGATTAAGATCCCAAGGACTCTATCCCCATATGAATCGTACATATGTACATTATTGTACTCTGCACTCTGTCTGTATGCATAGCGGTGTGTCCGAGCCTATCTTTTTGTGCTCAAATTTGGAATATCCTGATCCCTACATAATTACCAGTGTTCTTCTTGAGACTGGAACCCTGTAATAGCTTGAGATAGGGAAGTTAAGATAAAGAAGACGGTTGTGTAAAAGAAAGATAAAGAGTAGGTCGGAGATATTCAATAATCCGGGGGTGTCCTCGGAAACTAGCCCAGGCCTTGGCACGGGGAGTGGCCAGTTCGATCCTTCTGGTTAACTCAACCCATCACCTTAATATCATATCTCAACACAATGTCGTCAAAGAAAGATATGCGCAGAGCTGACCTAGGTGAGTGGAGCAGGAATTGCTTCGGGACTTGGGCTCAAAGCTAACATTGAAAAGCGATCCCCTATGTCGATCCGCCCAAGAGCAGCAGCGATGCCGATATCTCCAGTACGCTATACCTTCATTCTATGGGATATTTTACTGGAATATGAAGGCTGATTGAGCTATGTAATAGGCACTATGTCGAGCACTATGCCCATGGCGGCCGTAAGTCACTTCCCCGACATCTCTGGCCTTGCGATAACTTGACCCTGACTTTAATTCTTTAGATGTTTACTCGGAACCGGTGAGTCGCGTTATCTTCCACGAGCGATGGACATTACTGACAACTGTTGCAATACAGCATGATCGGATGGTAAGAGGCGAGCAGTCAATGATTCAACCAGGTTATCTGACTCGGAAACAGGGTATCCTTCGTCTTCTCACTTCAGTCCTGGTTGGGTGAATCCCCAGAGCAGAAGAGAACTGCTTCTACACCGGCCTACATGTCGGTTCTCATGTCCTGTTCGTTCCTTTCCATATCCCCCTCATGCTTGCAGGACTAATCTCATGGGGTGGTGTAGTGATGGCATTGGTTGTCGTATGTATCTCGAACCTACAGAATTGCCGACGCACCCAGCTTAACAAACCATCGCAGACCTATTTCCCCCTCTTCTTGCCTCCGCAGGCTCCTGGGGGTACTACCGCCTCCGCCGCACCGACCCCGCTAGCCTCTTGAACGCCCAACCCTCCTTGATACCTTTTATTCCTCTCCTATATGCGTATCATAATCTCCACAGTCTTATCATCCGAACTACGATGGATTAATTGTTCGCGGGTCATCAGGTTCTGAGTTTGGATTGGGAGATCTCCACCTATTATCTATCTATTATTGTCACGATGTACCAATATTCAACCCGAGTTCTACCCTTGTGATCTTACTATCATAATTACCAATTATTTGCTAGTTTGAATTAAAATTGTATATGATTTGCCCAATAGTTTCTTGCGCATTATCAAGATGTTCATGACCAGATGCTCGAGAAATTGCTTAGTCACACACCGCCTTCCCCCACAACGTGACTCTTGCCTCAAAAGGCTCTGCCGCTTCTTCTCTCCCATTCTTCAACCACAGCAACTACTCTCCCCTCACCACACACGCTCCGATCTTTTACAGAGATATTGAATCTCGCCCTTCGCTCACTTCATCAATACCCATTTTAAACGCCGTTTACTACGAAAAGGCCGAGTTTATGTCCATCGAAAACCTCAAGACCTTCGGTAGGTTCGCCACTTTCCCCTCCTGAGCGCGCGTGTCGGGCCTCACCCCACATCACTCGCATATCCACAGTGAGGACTCATTATGCGGATGGGACATATGTCTTTCATCATGTATAGTGTCAACACTGTAGATTTCAGCTTCCCCCCACCTGCGTTCCACCGAGTCTCACGGCGGCGGGGTACAAATTCACTACTGGACTGAGGCTGACATGTGCATATTACAGACCCCTTCGCCGAAGCCGACGAAGATACCGGCGAGACTAAACAGTCTCAGAACTATATCCACATACGGATTCAGCGTACGTCCACTGTGTCCTCACTGCCCATGGCTACTCCTACTCGTCGGCGCTAAAAAAAAAGGGGGGTACATGCTAACCACTTGTTTCACAACAGAACGCAATGGTCGCAAGACTCTGACCACTGTTCAGGGTCTTCCCAAGAAGTTCGACCAGAAGAAGATTCTCAAGGTCATCAAGAAGAAATTCGGTATGTCTTGTGACCTGTGCATATGTGTATCCGCGCCAGATGCTAACCATATCTTAGCTTGCAATGGCACCATCGTCTCTGACACTGAGATGGGCGAGGTGATTCAGCTGCAGGGAGACCAGAGAAAGGATGTCCAGGAGTTCTTGACTGACAAGGAGGGACTCGAGCTTGATGCCAAGACCATCAAGGTATGTCGCTACCCCAATATCTGCCCTCTATCATACCATGTCCTAATTTCTTATATCATAGGTCCACGGGTTCTAATCCCATCACCAACATCATGCCTTGTTCCAGTCCCCTCTTCCCGGTTTATGTTGCCCTGTGAGCGGTGGGATAGGAAGCATCCCTCATCCGCCGGCCGTATACAGTACTGTATACAATACTGGCCTTCACATCGATCGAATGTCTTGCTTTCTCCCCCCACCACTCTGTGCCTGGCGAGTTAGACCTGGGCCCTTCGTCGAAATGACCCGCTACACCTGTGTGCCTCCTACCTATCGTTCACGCATGATCGGCAGGGAGAGCGGGGTGGTTCGACCGCTATTCTAAGGACGGGATTATGACGGAACGAGGAGTTGGTAGATACCCATTTTATCTGCATAGACAGACAACACTTTTTTTTTCTTTTCATAACTTTGCGTGTGTTTTTATTTTATCCGTTGAGAAGGGGTTGCTTATGCCTGTATTGCTTATTGCCATTGCATTCCCATGGTCAATTTGTCAATCTGGCTGATCGAGATCCAGGTTGAAGGGCGTGCTTTTGCTGAACCGTTATCTCGGTCTCTACCGTCTACTTTTAATCTTCGTGCTATTCTCTTTTGTTGCCCCTCTCTTGGGGATGCAGTCCATTGCTTGAGATCAAGGAAATTGAACTGTTGTCCATCACCTTCCAGCTGATACAGCAAAGTAGATTTAAGATATGGAACTTCATCTCAGGTAGTTTAAGATCATTTTGTATCAACCAATAAACAAAGAATAATAGATTAGATCTATCAAAGATCGCCAAATCTGAAAAGAAAAAAACTTCCCTAGACCAGGGGTATAAAGCACGACCGAGTCCGAAGGCTCAAAAAACAAAGGTCTTCAAACCTTTCCTAAATCAAAATCAAAATCCAATCCCAAAAATGTACAAATCTTCCACCCTGTCTAGCCAAGAACGCTTGTCCAGCTTGTCTAGACTGTGGAAATCAACTTTACAAGATATCCCGAAACAGAAAAAGAAGAGAAATGCCAACCAGCAGGCAAGCTACAGCTCTCCAACAGCAATGCGGTCATCCGCAACTCGCATGCGCAAGAAGATGGCCACAGCCCAGTCCCAAAGTTTGCGGGTGATAACGAAGACAGGTACTTCTGGTTCGTTCTCACGGGTCAGATGCAGCTGCATAAGGAGTGAGGACATGCTCAAGAAGCTTGCGACGGAAACGACTAGCAGTGATGCTGCTGTTTCTCGTTTGATGGTCGCATGATTTTGCGTTGCGTGGTAGACAAAGGTTAAAGTCTAGGTGAAGGGTCAGTTGACTGTTGTAAAGTAGATCAACAATGAGTCGAGTAGCATACAGTTGTTATGGAGATCCAGGCTGGTAAAAGAAGTCGGGGGTCAGAAGATGCACCAGATAGATAAAGGACCCAAGAAGTGATATATGCAATCAAGCCGTTGGTTGTTAGAAGACGGATCACAACAGCTGGTGGGGTGTAGTTTAAAAGCCTGGGGATATCAATTAGCATTAGGAAGAGAGTGAGACGTCCAAGGGGATGAGAAAACCAACCATCGAGACATCATGCAATCAGCAAAGAAATAAGAAAGATATGCAGATGCACAGCACTGTCAAGTAGTCAGTATAAAAGCACACGCTTGGATACCAGTAAGTAGTATATCAAAAATATATACGCCCACATATCAAAGCAGGAATACCACATACCCACATAATGGCCAATGCCACCTCCGTCACACGGAACCTCCTCTCGACATCCCATTCCTGTCCAACACTGCCAACAATCGCCGCCGCCCACCCCTCTCGTCCCATACCCGGCCGTATATGCAGCAACTCAGCGAGGAAGGTAAAGGCGCATCGCAAACCCCACCAGGCAGCAGGAAGTGTGCTCAGAGCCCGACATACCAGTAAGGGAATATACCACCTACGGTCTACCCCGAGGATTACAGCGACCCGCGGGTGCAGTGCTGACGGAGGCCCATTACTGCTGAGTGGGGTATGGGACGTTGAGGAAGTCGGGGAGGGCGGAACAGTCGAATCAGATGGAGAAGCCACCTCTTTAGCCAGTTGGCTTTGTAGTAGTTCAGGTGAGGTGTTGAGGTAGCTAGGCGGAAGAGCCGATCGCGCGAAATTCAGGTCTGGGCCACGGTGTGGATGTGGGTGTGGATAGTCGTGGGGAGTGTATGGTGGAGGAGAGGCATTACGTCGAGGAGGAGCCAGCCTTTATTCTGAATCGCGGCATATGCGGCCGCCACGCAAGGAATGGAAAGGGTATAGGATGAATGTTACGATCGAGTCGTTGAGATTCGAAGTTAGGTTGTCAAGCTATTTGTGAGTCCCCTAATTGGCAGATATCAGACCCAGTGTATGGGCGGGCGGTGTCTTTTTTTCGGGCAGTTTAAATCTATACATTCAACTTCTTTTTTACGTACAATAGTATTATAAAAGAAACAGTGAGGAAGATATCAGCTGTCTCGATAAAGAGGGTGATTCACAAGAATCTCACTTGTTGCTGTCGACTTGCGGAGTGTTTCACGTGACCGTTCCGCGGATTTCTATTCTTCGGCCAGGAACCACTTCTCTCTTCTCAATCCGATTCGCAATGGCGTCTACCGTACGATTGCCCGCGGGCACATCCGCTCGAATTGTACCATCTGGTTCATTTGTTCAATGTCGCGCCTTCTCCGAGACCTCCCAACAATGGCGTGGGAGACCAATGAATTTCCGCTCTCCAAGCCAAGCGCAGCCATCCTTCAACACCAGAACACAGGGCATGAAGTTAAGCGATCTGCCAAATGACATTGGCATATTACCTGGTACCTTTGTCCGACCTTTATGGAGGGATATGCCTTCAATTTTCAAGGCACCGCGCGATAGGTGGCACATGGAATGGACTTGGCTCAAGTCTTTGGCAACCAACTATGGCAGGTTAGTTCTCCCCAAATCCTCAGAATACTCGGCGCCCTCTATCGCTCTAGTGGTGATTATGTTGAAAAGGAGCTACATATATCATATACTTGCAAGAATTATCTTTTCTAACTGTATTGTAGTCTGCTCCAATATTGCAAGCGTGAGAACAACCTTCCTCTTCTCCTAAGCAAGCGGCGCCACTTTGGCGCAAAACTCCAAAAGGAGATGTATACAGCATTTGCCAAGTAAGCATACGCCTTTTCTCGTTTTCTTATGAGCGTGGCTAACCGCTACCAATTGTTATAGAGGCGACATTCCTAAAATCCGCCAGATCTGCTGCGATGGTCTCGCCAAGCAACTCACCACTGGTATTGAACGCCGCCCGAAGAATGAGCTAGTGACCTGGGAACTGGTGAAATATCTGCGTCAGCCAAGCACAAACTTCATCGGCCTCCGCGTGATATCAGATCGCGCGACAGGCATCCCCGAAGTCCCGAAATCCGGTATCCGTCAAATAGTCGTGCGCATCACGAGCCGACAGTCCACAACGACTCAGATCCAAGATCCCAGTGGAAAGGAGTCTGCAGAAGTTACCAACGTTTCCTCCAAAGAGCAGGACTGCGTTGAGCACTTTGTCATTCAGAATATGCGCTGGAACAACCAGGATAAGGGCTGGAGGGTGTGGGGCCACATCAATCCCACCACATTGGATGAGGTTATGACTAACCCCAGCTTCATGCCTGGCTTGTCGGCCTCCGAGCGTCTGGAAATGATTAAGGACTCGATGGGCAAGAAATAAATTTGAGTCACATCTCAAACTGTGATTTGTGTTTCTTTCTGCCAGAATGATATGCTCTGCGCCTCTGATCTCTCCCCTATTTGGAGACCGAAGATGCGAGATCCGCACTAGGAACGCAAACTAGATGAGAACTGCATGCACTATATGCCTTGCGAAAAGGTTTTTGACCTACTATCTTACCGGATCAACGGCGAATGGCTTTGACACAATATCCTTTACTTCACCTGCTTGTCTCATTTTCGTTTACAAAACTACCTTTTTGGGGCCTAACATTGGATAGAGGCTCAGGTCGGCTTCTTTTCTAGCCTGTCTTCTTTCCTGCACACCGGGATCCCCTGATATAGAAGCATTTACACCTCCCATGTACCATAGCCACCTGTTTTGATCAAATTCTACCTTTCTTTCGAGCCGTTACTTGTATATAAATGGATATCAATGTCTCAAAGAGTGTCCTTCCCAAAGTCTACTATTGTTTTCCGTAACACATTGTACTTTCGAGCTTAAGCTTCTTATTTAAGTGCTCTAAAGCAAACATAAAAAGGAGAAGTTGAAGAATGATAGGTTGGACAGCCATACCAACTACTCAATTGGCTGGCGTTTATTGCTGTCACTTTTGAGGTTTCAAACTTCTCTTCAAAAACGACACTGTACTTTCCACTAACACGATGCCAAATAACCCAATATTTGCTGTCTATCAACCTGACATCATTGGTAACACTATTATACGTTGTTCATGACCGGCATAAGTCAAAACTAAAAGGACTAAGCAGTGTGTATATGTACAACCGGGAGGCACAAAAGCACAATATTATAATGTGTGGCACAGGTATCACCCCAAGGATACACCGCAACACACAGAAGCAGAAGGTACGAACTGATAAAAAAAAGAGGTTCAAAAGAGTACCGGGATGCGGTGCACCAAAACCACTATACGAGGGCTCGCGAACCAACGCTCATATTGAAAGAAAATAAGAAAGAAGCTAGGAGCGGCCGGGGAGCGAATTGATCAGTCATCGTCGAAGATCTGGAATGTGTTATTCAGGATTGTCTCGACGACACGGACCTGCCACCCAGCATCGGCAATATTGCCACCGGTATTGGCGCCCATGAGGGTTGGTCTATAAAGAGAATTAGCGGGTCTGTCTCTGGTAAAATCCCGGTTTGTATAGGATGTCAAATGTGCAAGAACATACCCGAAGCAAATAGCTAAATTGCCCGCGTTCATGCGGTTCTGGGTATAGTGCTCTTGGATCTTGTTGAGATGCTGCGATGGACTGGATTAGTATCTGGATGGACACAAAGACTAATTTTTTGTGGGGAATAAATAGTACCAGAATAATGGCTCGGAGAGTAGCATAGTGGGCATCGGGCAGACTGTTAATAAGGGCGTGCATCGAGTCTCGACGTTGGATGTCATCGTCGAGGCCTATTTCATTGTTAGTTCCTTGAAAATACGAGATTATGTACTCTCTCCATGGCATGAACACTACTTACGAGCGGCGTCAACAAACTGTTGGTAGAGCTGAGTAGTGAACAGAGGGTCGGGGAGGTCCCTGAAGAATTGCTTCACAAGTCCTGCCACACTGTTGACATCATGGTAGAAGTTCTCCGGGTTTGTGAAGTCGACTTGCGAGGAGTCTATTCATAGGAGAGTAGGATTAGCAAGCTGTCCATAATTCCTTAGGTATCTGATCAGCTTACCATTGTCAAACACAGCTTTCATATGGCTGATATGATTGGCACTACCGGAAAGTCGATAGATGCCCTCCATATCCAGACCGAACAGCTCAACTGCTTGGAAGCACTGGTACACAATGAACGGAACTGCTGTTCCATCCCGGGCGTACAGGTCGTTCAGCGAAACACCGAACACTGGCTTCAACGGAGGAAGATTCGATTGGAAATTCCTGTCCATTGGAGGAGGTCCTGCCATTGGCACCTGAATTTGAGGAGCAGGTTCCGGAGCATGCGGCCCTGAGACTGGATATGGAGGTGTGCCAGCTGGGGGCGGAGTGAAGGTCTTCTCCGGAGGATAAGGTGACTGCGGCAATCGGTCACCGCTATGCAGTGGCTGAAGCGCCGGCGAAGAAGTATTATTCGAAGTGAATGTCTGCGGCATGATTGACACGCGCTTATTTTGAGTGCTTGTTTGAGAAGGTGCCGCAGCAGGAGCAGAGGCAGAGGCAGAAGAAGAAATAGCCCCAGCACCACCGAGTGTCTGATCAATGTGTTAGTATAACGGAGCAATCGAGGAATAATGCAGGGCTTACAGGGTGGCGCTCATATTTGACCTGTTCTGAAGCCACGGCTCCCGGGTTTCCTTCATGGCTCAAAATGAACTCGTGGAGATCTCTCTGGTTATCGACTTGGCGAATAACATCGGCAAGACTCTTAGGTGCTAATGGTCCGTTATTCCCATCGGTCTTCAAAGGGCTAACGCAGAGACCTTGACCCAGGAGTAGTTTCTCGTTGAAAGTAGCTGCAAATGATAAGCCGATGAACAGTACACAATGAAACCTGAAGGAATCGCACATACCGAACTTCTGCTGTTGCAGCGTCAAACCCGAATCACACTCAGCGATCAACTGCTGAAGATTGTGTACAGCCTGAGGTCGGTGTGTAGATACTAGCTCCTGGCGCGCTGCTTGAGCAGCCTGGACCTTGGACCCATAATCGCTATCCGCATTCTGGACCTTGCGCAGCAACTCCTCCTCGTGCTGCGCCGCAGATTTGTGACCCTTAAGGCCGAACTTTCCACCATGCTTGTCTCCCGTGCGAACACGGTCATACTGCTCTGCCAACGACTCATACTTGGCCTTTGCCTTCTCCGCCAGCGATTCTGCATCGGCGACCCTCTTCTCCGCAGCTAAACCTGTCTGTTTCCATTGCTTGCGGCCGCGCTCGATGTTGGCGGCAAGCTCGTGCAGGCCATCGGACATCTCGTGGAGAGAGACAGCAAATTGGAGGCCATGATCGACCATGCGCTCCTGAATTCGGTGGATGTCCTTGTAGCTAGAACTGTACGTTCCTTGTCGGTTCTCGGGGCGTTGCGACGCATCGTTGATCACGCGGGACAGTTTTCTCAGGCCTTGGGCGTGCTCTTCTTCGAGGGTCCCTCGCTTTTTCAGGAAGGTTGAGAAATCCTAGTAGATAAGGTATCAGCGTTTGCGATCGTAGTTGGAGTCCTTTTGCGACTACGAACCTTGGCTGAGGCCACGCTTTGCTTCAACCGAGTCAAGAGGGTGGTTATGCCGATCTACTCAATGATTAATATAATTGGGTTTCTTAATGTGCGCCCGGTGGATCTCACATCGGAGTAGATAACTTTGTCTAAGCGGGCTTTCAACTCGTCTGAGATGGCTTCGTGGCCCGGCTGGGTCTCCCCGTTAGGGGATGAGCGACCGGGACTCGGAGGCACATCGGAGAGCTGTAGGGCCGCGGATTCGTGTAGGGCTTGATCCGACATGGAAAGAGTCTTAAACTTGAGTGAATGTCAAGAAAGAGAAGTTAATTAGAGGGGGGAACGGAAAGCCTCACGGGCCACTAATGTCGTCAGGGAGGCCAACGGGAAATGCTGCAGCCTTCTTAGTTTTCGGGCTGAAACGAAATAGGAATGTCCTTGGGCTTCATACATTTAATTATATTGTTCTACAACATATACTATACAAACATAAAAATCACTTTTTATTCTGGTATCGTCGCTATGAATCAATAACATCATTTATACACAGTGGCTTCTATAAAACCGGAGGTGCGACGAAAGAGTCGGGAATGCCATCAAAGACCCAATTGAGGGAATCAAAGACTTCCGAGAACCCAGATTCGCTGAAAAATGCCCCGCCTTCATCAAACTGAGCGGGCATCATCAAGGATTGGTCCTCTAGAGAACTATCCTGCTGTTGCCGCGTCATGTGTCCTGTCGGACCTAGTATATCTTGGTTCGCTGCTATGGCAGCGGCTGTACAAAGAGATTCTTTAGAAACTAGAAGAAAACAAATAAAAGGGGGGGTCAAGAAAGGAAATCTTACCTTGCATTTCCTCGAGGCTTTTGACCGGTCGGAACCGTTGTCGCCAGCGCCAAACTGTATCATACACATGGCTCATGCTCATGCGGCAGCGGACTTTGAGTTGTAGAGCATCTTCTTCGGCGGGCTCTAGGCTCGTAGCATTCCACATCTGAGCAAGGATGTCTGCAAGACGGATAGGACGATCATGATCCATGACACTAATTCGGCGAATTGCTGAGATCGCACCGTTGAACAGTAGCTTGCCATGGTTGAAATCGAGGTGTCGGCTGAAGCTGCTCTTCAGCAACTTCATGAGAGCGAAAGCGGCCGATACAATCATTTGAAGAATATAGTTGGTGGAGTGACCGATCAATTCACCTGGCGAGGTTTCGAGATCAAGTACTCGGCCAAGGAAAGAGGTTGTTGCAAGGAAAAGTTTGATCAGATCGTCGCTTCGTGCAGTAGACCCCAAAAACATGAAATATCGGAAGTGCAATTCTGCAGCACGGAGATGGATCGTGTTGATGGCTTAATACGAGTATAAGCGGCGCGCCAAATTAGAACGAAACGACAACAACTTACCGGAAATTTTTCCGTCAAATTCGACATCCATGTCTCGGAGTTCACTTTCCAAAACCTGCACAACCACGAGCTTGTCGGCACTGATAAAGTCCGCAGGCTCCGGTTTACTACTGTATAATGCCTTGGTCACCCGGTCGCAGAATTTTTCGATGCGTAACCGAATGGCCAGGTCATCGGGAAGCCGGTAGTCGGCATCCCTCAAAGAGGCAGGCTCAAGGGCCCAGTCGTATATTGTGCTCGGTGGCTGGCCATAACCAGTCGCAACACTGCCGAACCCTCAATCAGTATATGATGAACAGCTATATATCGAAAGGTTACTCACTTTTGAGCCACGATGTTGCAAATGACCCATGTATGTAGTCGATCCTTTAAAGCTTCGCCTTGCACTTCCATGCGGAATGTTGTGAACTCTTCCGCTTGAACCGGACGATGTAGTCCAAGCTGCATAGCAATCTGCATCATCAAGCCACTCAGCATGAAGGTTGCATCAGTGCGCTGGCTTGTAGTTGGAAGAGGCCATGTACACAGAACACAAAGGGCCTTGACCACCCGGTAGTCTTGCGGGACACTGGTAATGGTTGACCAAAGCAGTCTGCTAAAGGGTCCGGACAGTGCGCTCAAGAGCCCAGGCTCATATTGAGACCGTCGACTCGCAACACAGATCATAGTCCACGCCAAAAGAGGGCATCGGTTGAGATACACCTCTGGAGGCTTGGGTGGGTTCAAAAGAGGAAGAAAGGGGTGATAATAAGTAAAATATCTATGCAGATGTTAATGGCAGGACCAGGCCAAAGAAATGAAGAGCGCATACTGTTCATATAGTCGAAGAACTCGGGCTCTAGAAAGACAGATATCTTCCAGTCTCCACTGGCCCTCATCCTGTGATATAATAGAACCATCCCTTTTCATAGTTAAAGGAGTTGCTATAGATGAGTGGGCTTCAACCGGCACCGAAACAGGTCGGGATTGATCAATCGCGGCCGAGTCACGCCTAGCAAAGACATCCTCTGAACAATGAGATATGTCATCGCCTGCATGGGATCCATGAGGCTCTACGCCTTGCTCATGATCCGAATTTGGTCCCAGGCGGCGGCGGAGATCTGCGATCTCCTTTTCCATTTCGGCATTGCGCCTGTGAAGGGGAGTCAATACGATGTCAGAGGGAAAAGCAGAAAACAAAAAGATTTACCTTCTTTTAGAAATGCGCTTGAAGGACTGTTCAACTTTACAGTCTATCCCAAGCCTGCGACAACGTGAACAGGCCGCAGCTGGCGTTTGAACAATATCACATCTCAACTATCAGGGTTTGAGGTATCAGCGGCGATTGTCGGAGACCCAATGCGATCGGGGGTTGGTTTGGATAAAATTGCATAGTAATTGGAGACATGCAAATGACTCACCTTTTGCTGCTTACATTCATTACAGGCTTTCCGGCTACCACCCCGGCGCTTGCCCGTGACTGGCGGGGTCTTCTCCATATCGCAAGATTCCGAGCTTCTCTGCATGAAATCGATAACCGGGGCTGGCCGGGGTAATGTGGGGGACCGAAAGTCGCTCGGGGGGATTGAGTAATGCGGCCCATCCGGTGCCAGTATGTTCCGATACCCCAAATCCATCGAGATCAGCCTGTGTTCAGCCGGTATAAAACCCCACGAAACGTGAACGAGTGCTGGAGTCCATGTGCCGTAAATCGGAGAAATCGGCCCGCTGAAGGGGGAAGTGGGGAATTTATCTGCTCATTGAGGACGTTGATTTGCGGGAGATTTGATGCTGAGAACGAATCTCGGCGGTTGCTGATTCATCTGATTATATAATCTCTCACGTTCCCGAGGTCCATGGTCTCAGGGTGTTGAACTACAACATATAAGGATTTGAATACTTCTCTATAATGTGCTTTGTGGTGTAGTTAAGCTACTATTAACCATTGAATAGTCTATATTGCATATTGTCTTATTATCAGCTGAAGTGTATATATATTAAAAAAAAGTATATCAGTATATAATAAACATCCATTGTTTTTTAACAGCTTTAACTATATATATCCGCGTTAGCCCAACAGAGCTAGAATAGCTGATATTCAATATATCGAAGCTATGAATATGTATTTCGTACTTTGTATAAAATGTCATACATTTGTTTGGACTTTATGCCCCACTTCCCATGGCCCGAGGTTGATGTGGATTATATGATCTTCAATGTTGTCTAGGGCTCCAGGATACATCTTTTACATATTTAACTCTCCAATTCCCCCAAAGTTATCATTTCAATATCCGATCTAAACACCTAAATACCTTTGAATCCTAACTTTGAAAAAAAAAAAAAAAAGTACGTTGTTCTATAGTTGCCAGTGCTACTTCAAGGTTAACAATTCAATAGGTCATGTCTGAAATCAACGTCACCGCAGTTTTATCTCCAAAGCCAGAGAAGTTTGAAGAAGTTAGCCCTCATACTTATCTACGGATTTAGCAGTCCAATTAGCTAACATACACCAGGTAGCTACTCTTGTAACCGAAGTCATCAAACAAGTGCAAGAACACGAACCTGATACACTGCTCTACTATGCCTTTCAAATCAAGGACAAGAATGAAATTGTGATTGTTGAGAGGTAAGTCGAGAGTATATACTCTCATTTGGTCCCCATGTGGAGGTACCTCGGCACGATCTACAGATAGTTCGCCACAATTTTTCAAGATCCTAATTTTACGACAGATATAAGAACCAGTCAGCGGTCCAGACCCACGTTAAATCACCTTATTTTCAATCCTTTGCAGGAAAACTACCCACTTTGTTGGCCAAACCCTCGGAGATTAGGGCAGGTGGGTTCCTTTCGGGCGTATCGCGACTATAGGGTCCAAGGGTTAAGGAGGGGTTAGATATAAATAGGATACATAAGTACTGGGGTTCATTTTTTTTTTTTTTGATTCGATATTGAAGTAAAACGCCAAACCATCTCCCGGCGTCACTCGTGATTTAATTGTCATGCGATTGGTGCATTAGTGAAAGATCAAGAGGTCTGTGAGAAGTTCTGAGAAATGTGATCCTATCATAAATAAATAAAAAATATGTTCTGTTTATAGAGATATATAATAAGAACTATATATCTCTATATCTTATTTAGATTAATTATTTAGTGCCTGTTTTTTTTGAGGGGGATTTCAATATAGAAAAATAATATAATCTGACACTTTTGCTAAGGAACTAGTCTGATTTCCTTTTTTTTTTCTCTCGCCCTCTTCTCTTTCTTCTTCTCTCTATAATTTTTTTTTTTTGCTTGGTGAGTTTCTGATCCAAAATCTCCTTTCATCCCATTTTCGTCTCCACATCTTTCCCACCCCCTCTTTTTCCCTTAGCTCCAGCCTCTTTCTCAAAGCCCCTGAAGCTAAAGCTAATGTCCTGAAGATACCCCTTCTGCTACGTTTATTTTATCCCTTTGATTTGGTTTGATTCTACATTTTTGCGATATGGCGACGGGTCCGGCTACTCAGTCACTGAAGGTGGGCAATTGATCCGATCCACAGGGATGCACGGCTAATTGATTGTAGTGTGTGGTGACTGGTGATGGTGCAGTTGGCAAGGTTAGTACCCCGACGACCCCTGGTCATGCGATACTAACATTTAATTCTATAGACATGTCTTCTGATCTCGTACACAACAAATGCTTTCCCAGGAGAATACATCCCTACTGTGTTCGTACCCCTCAATGCGAAACCCTGAATCTCGAACGGACATTGATTCCATTACAGCTTTGACAACTACACGGCTAGTGTGATGGTTGACGGCCGGCCGATCAGCCTGGGATTGTGGGATACTGCTGGACAAGAGGATTACGATCGCCTGAGGCCGTTATCCTACCCTCAAACCGATGTCTTTTTGATCTGCTTCTCCATCGTCAGCCCCCCATCATTCGATAACGTCAAAGCGAAGGTACGAATGGACCGAACACACCCAAGGCAACTAATAAGCTCTCTATATTTCTATGCGACTAACTGTTCCCCGCTTGCAGTGGTTCCCCGAAATCGAACACCATGCCCCAAATGTCCCCATCATCCTCGTCGGTACGAAACTCGATCTGAGGGACGACCGCGCGACTACGGAAGCCCTACGCGCACGCAAGATGGAGACCGTCTCCTACGAACAAGCTCTGGCCGTTGCTAAGGAAATTCGTGCACATAAGTACCTGGAGTGTTCGGCGTTGACACAACGCAACTTGAAGAGCGTGTTCGACGAAGCCATCCGGTGTGTTACCACTCTTTCCCCGAGAGACTTGCATATATCGGTTCTTTTTTTCTAACCCTACGTCACAGGGCCGTTCTCAATCCCCGTCCCGCTACGAAATCCGGGAGGAAGGGAGTCAAATGCAGTATCTTGTAGAGCACGTTTGTTTGACTTGACTCGTCTCCCATGTTCTCGTATGCTATAATGAATAATATATAGTTAATACGGCGTCTGGGTAGTTAGAGGCTTTTTTTTTTTAATTCGCCGGCCTCTCAGTCCTGTTTTGTGATGAAATCCATTGACCGTTTTTCTTGGGAATATTTCCTGTCTTTGCCCTTTTGGCCTTTGTTCATAGTCTGTCCCAATTCATTCGCGATGTTCTTCACGCCGAGATTATGTAGTTATGATATATGCCCACTTGGGGAATGTTTGTCGGGAAGCACAGAAAAGAACAAATGAATTGGTATCTTCAAAATCAAGGTATAGAGACATGAAGTAAGTACTTTTTTGGAACATAGAAAAACAGGCCAAATCTGATGCTCCCGGGAATGCATGGCTATCAAAATGTCCAGCTGCCTGCAGATGCTCCGGACACCTTCCTGTACACTGTTCTGATCCAACGAGTTGAAACCCTTAAAAAAGTAGACCATAGTAGTGAGCCGACGGTTTTTGTTGGTTTAAACACGGCCTCTACGGCTAGGGTGCAGACCAGCCCACTGATCGTTGTCAGCGCTGGCAGAGTTGTCAGCTGCGCCGTCCATGGTAGCAGCGTTGGCACCAGAGCCGCCAGCCGGGGCAGCCTTCTTCTCGTGCTTCCTCTTATCCTTCTGGATATCCTTGGCCTGGCGCTGGCGCTCCTCGTTAAGCTTCTCGTTCTTGGCCTGGATCTTAGCATTGCGATGTTCGGACTTAGCGCCGCCGCCGCCAGCACTATTGGTATTTAGTAAACAGTCTATTGCATTTGGACATTCTTGCTTGGAGAAGATGAAATGATGATCATCTGCTCCAATTGGGAGGGTGATAACTCACGTCAGCTCGACGTTCATGCGTCGGGGAGGGTACTTTCCGTCGTCGAAGGTGGAGTGGTGGTACAGCTTGAGGCAAGTCTTCATGCGGTCATAGTTGTCAAACTCAATGAATGCAAAGCCGCGGCATTTAGTGGGGGCTTCTTTCTTGGTGGCGACGCGGATTGTGGCCGGGGGGTTCTTCTCGAAGTGCTTGCTCAAGGACTCATGGTTGGCGGAGTAGGGAAGGTTGCCTGCATGTGCGAATATGCTTTGATTAGTCCTATGTCCTTGTTTCGAGATAGTCCATATGGATTGAAATCACATACCGACAAAGCAGATGAAGCGGGAACTCTTTGGGGCTTGCTCAGCCTCCGCGGATTCAGTAGTAGGTTCTTCTTCGGTCTTAGCCACGGGTTCAGCGGTCTCCTTCTTTTCCTTCTTCTGCTTTTTCTCTTTTTTCTCCTTCTTCTTGTCCTTCTTCTCCTTCTTATCGGCGTCCACCTTCTCGGCAGGGGTCACGTCAACATCCATAGCGTCTTCGGAGGGAGGAGCAGGCTTAGCATCGGCCTCCTCGGCCTTGGGCTCCTCCTTTTCGGACTTGTTCTTCTTCTCCTTCTTCTCCTTCTTCTCCTTCTTTCCCTTCTTTTCCTTCTTTTCCTTCTTCTCCTTCACCTCTTCCTGTGCCAGGGCAGCAGTTTCGGCAGGAGCAACAACCTCAGACTCTTCATCCAACTTGCGCTTCTCCTTCTTCTCCTTCTTGTCTTTCTTGTCTTTCTTCTCCTTCTTCATCTTCTTGCCCTCAGGCTCGATCACCTCATCCTGCACGAGTTTGCGCTTATCGCCCATTGTGGTGGTGTGTAGGGTTGATGTTGTGATGAAAAGGGACAATTGTGAGACGGGAATAACACAAGACGAAAGGAATTCTTGGGATGTTGGGGGAAATAAAAAAGAGGTGAAGATAGTTTGCAGCGCAACGAGACTCAAGCTCCAAAAAAAAAGTCGGGCGGAGAGAAAAGTGAAATTTATTTTTGCCGTGTTTCAGGAAGCGGTGAATACAAGCTTCCTGATAAGGCCTTGGTTTTTACTAGTAGCTTGCAAATTAAATACACACCATACTAAACAATTGTATGCATACATCCAGTCAAGTTTGCATGTACTCAAATCATATATCAGTATAAATTTTAGTGATCAACTCTCTGTTGAATTAGAACACCAAGATCTTCACACCCTTCTTCGCTCCATAGCGCTCACGCAGTTCCGGCCGAGTAAGCAGCTTCAACAGCGGCATATGCGTGTCCTTCATGTCAAAGATGCCTCGTTGCTTCTGGTCAACGTGTGATCCATCAATGACAATGCGCTCCAGCTCCTCCAGGTTGAGAGTTCCTAGAAGATCGATATCAGCATATGTATATATGGGGAAATAGAGCTATCTATAGATAGCAACCGAGCAAACTCACCAGACTCGATCAAATCAGATATTCTGGTTGGGGTTCCAGCCCCGATACCAGACCGAGCACGTTGAAGGAACTGCTTTGATTCCTCCAGCTTGATGTGCTTTGCGAACAACTTGCCTACAATGCTCTCCTTGGTCTGGAAGGAGCGTAGTGCCCTAGTAACATCAATTGTCAGCCCTAGCTTCAACTAATACCAAGAAAAAAGGTTGGAACTTTATCCACTTACCGTACAACATCAGCGGATCGCAGAGCAGCACCCGAAATGACTAATGTATGAGGTGTGCCGTTCTTCTCAGACGACTTTGATAGGTCGCAACCCTTGGGACTGAACGTCTTGAGGAATTCGGGAAGTTGCTCTAGCTTTCGACTGGAGGTGAACGAAGAGGTATCGAGGAATGCAGAGTCTATGAGATTCGTTAATGTCTATGATACCACTCGGCCTTGGTCGACAGAACAATAGGAAGTATATGTACCTGGGACTGAAAGATCACTCAGCTCAACAGCAGAGAGCTCCTTCTCGTGTCTTTTGGCCTTCTTCGCGAAGTGATCGCCCAACAACCGGCCGTCCATCTTGCCAATCGACTCATCAATACCGTCTTTGCGCGTTGACTGCTGCTCTTCGTGTTCAGCCTGCTTCTTTTTGTTTATGCTCTTCTTCTGCTTTTTCTTGCTTGATCCCTCTGCGGGTTTGCCTGTCTCGGGATTTTCTTGCTTGGGAGCAGCATCGTCGGCTTGTCTCTTGCGCTTGTTTTGGAGCTTATTGGCAAGTCCTTTGGGGGCGTTTGTATCAGCCATTGTGATGATAGCCAGATAAACTTGACAAAATAATCTTCCGAGTATTGTAAGCTTCAATTGGTAAATGCAAATCGCATTGAGACTTCGTTGCGCAAAAAAAAGCCGGCTGAATCAGCCAATCTTATCGATAAGAAGGGACCAATCACGCATTGGCCCGCAATTGTTGTTTCGAGACGCGACAACCTTGGAACCTTGGAAGACGAACATCAATGTTAATCTTGTAGGTAATTTACTGTTCGTCCAGTTGATCTGGGATTTTACAGTTGTGGTGATCACATATGGGACTTAGTATATCTTGCATGATATAGTTGTACTTCTCTCACTGAAGGAAAACACACCAAGTCATGTCTACTTCTACCCCAAATGCGCGTGGGCATCGGTCACCATTTGGGACTGCTACCCCGTCTGGGGATACAACATTGACCGGAGTGAGTGCCATCCCTTACCTTTTGAGGGGTTGGAAAATTGCTGACCGTATCATCAACCTACAGCTCCAACGTCTCCCTAGTCATACACGCTACCCTCTTACACCCAGTCGACTTGTTACCGCAGCCACCCCAGGTACCCAACGATCTGCCTCTCGATATACACCGCGTGCTCGGGGTGTGGGTGCGCCAACAACACCGTACGGACTTCGCGCCCGGCAACAACGAGCAGCAAATACCCCTGGTCGCGATCGCCGACGAAGCGGCAGAATGCACCGGGAGACTACATTCGATATCCTTAGAAACCTGGGCAGAGGTAAGAGCTTCACTATATACCATTCGGCACGAAGAATTGAACTGAATTATTCGGACCGGTCTTAGCACTTGCTCCTGTATCTCAACCTATCCGGTCCTCGCCACAGGAGAAGTCCGAGCCCATCGAAGAGCCAATTGATGAATTTGAGCAGCTTGATAATGAGCCAGAAATCGAGCGGCCACGCTTATCTCTGCCTATTCAGGAGTCCGAGGAAGAAGGCGAAGAAGCGAGTCCTGAAATGCACCCCCCGAGAATGTCTCTCGCCTTTGCAGAGGATGATGTGGATATTACTTATCAGTCTGTCGAATACCCTCGCGACGCCAGTATCCGAGACCGGGACCGGTTATCAATGATGAGCCGGGCTACCGGCAGAATCAGTGGAGATTTTGATGAGACACGATTAGAGAGCGATGACGCAGATGAAACTGGCATTATGGGCGAGGATGATGAGGCAGAGGATACAATGATTAGTGGTGGTGACTTTGATAGAGGGTGGGTATTCAAGTGTTGGATTGTCTATTATAAAACTTGGCTAATATCACATATAGGGGAGAGACGGAAGACCTGGGCCGCTTCCATTTTGACCTTAACTTTCCATCTCCTGCGGCTGCTCCGCTTGAAGATCCCACTGCCGGAGATATGAACGATATGGAGGATTTCGAACTGTCCACCGCGGAGCCACCCCCAGCTCCATCAGACGACGACGATGATGACGTTGGAGGTGATCTTGGTTTCGGACTCGACTTCCCACCCGCAGAGTCCCCAAGTGAGAGCCCTGGGATTGTTGGAGGTGGATTGCGAGACGAAGCTGTTCCAGCCCAGGGCAAGCAAAAAAAGATTTCACGACATGGAATTCCTGTCCCAAACTTGCCTGCGGGTGTGGTAAAAAAACTAGCGACTCGCTTCGCGCGTTCGGGGGCTGGATCAAAGGCAAAAATCAACAAGGCCACACTGGCCGCTATCGAGCAGGCATCCTCTTGGTACTTCGAGCAAGCAAGCCAGGATTTGGCTGCGTATTCAACGCACGCAGGACGAAAGACCATTGATGAGAGCGATGTCATCACTTTGCTGAGAAGGTTAGTTTCCTTGGGGGCCAACCATGCCTTGAGAGTAATTGCTGACTTGTTCCAGACAACGCCATATCAACAACTCGACGACAGTTTTTTCACTCGCCCAGAAGCATTTACCCAAAGAACTTCAGCAAGATATGAGATTGGCCATGCCTCCATGAATGTCCAAAACGAAAATCTCCATGAAAAATAACGCTTTCAACGCCAATGAATTTTCCTAAGGTAAAGCTGGAATCCCACTACCGATTACCAGTTTCGGTTTTGGCGAACTCGGCGCAATGCCTCGTTGGGATTCTTCCGGATAACCATCCACATCATGATAGTCGTGGCCAAAGACAGGCCATACCTGCAGAGAATGAGCGTCAATCTCGAGTGGGAAGGGAAATGAAGCAACGGATCCCACTTACCAAGTGAAGATGTATTGAGAATGATTGTTTCTCAAATTTACCTCGGCGGCGCGGCCGATCGGGATACCCTTGGCCTCACGATCATAAGATTCGAGGAGGTCAGGTACTGGAAACGCAAATCATTGTTAGCCATGCATTAGCAAGATAATTCAACCTAGCCTCCTTACCCATTGTCTGCTCAATCCAAACAGGCTGGCTCCCGCTCAGCTCTGCCATCTGGTTGATATCGGGGAAGTAGAACTTTCCCTCCTCCGGCTTGTTCTCCGGTGTAAACATGTTTTTCTTCCACGGTTCTCGTAGCAACCCCTCTACGGTCACCTCTTCATTGGACACACCCAAAGGCCGGTCTTTTTGGTCCTTCAATTTCCTTGAAATCCAACCACGGTTCACAAGTACGGTGCTCTGTCCCTCTCGCTCGAGGGGAGTCACCACGATAAACCCATCCTCTCCTTCGTTCATACGGGGCCCGACCAACATTTCTTTGTCATGGCGGAAATGGCCGGTAGCATACACACGGCGGTAGTCGAACTCTGAAATGGCATCCGGGTCAATTCGCGGCGGCAGAGGCAGAGGAGGCTTCACGAGACGGTCCTCAAATTTGGCCATTAGTTTGGTTTTCCAGTCCAGGCGCTGTACCTGCCATGTACCAAGTACAAATGAGATGATAGGAATCAGAGCTATAGATATGTAGAACGGTAAGTTAGCAATCGTCTCTTGGCCACGAAACATATTATTCTCGAGAATATCTAGCATTGGACATTGACATACCCAAAATGATCAGACCAGGTCCATGCTTCTTATTAACACGGACAAGCCTTGCCGGGTGGTCCACGACATTTAGACCATCAGCCAGCTGGCGCGATTGAGAGATATGGCGGAATTGTTGTAGGCGATATTTGGCGCTGATGAAATTGATCTTTGATGATACACGTGGGCATCGAACGGCCCGAGTTGGCGGCGTCCAGACCCTCGCAGATGCCTTCTGCAAAGCAGAAAATATCGGCCGCATATTGACAGCTTAGAAAATATGAACACCGAGTTGAGGTTTGGACGGGGGTGAAAGTTGGAGTTTCTTGCAAATGCGGCGGCAGTTGGGATTTCGGGATCGGGGGTTACCGTGACCGCCCAGGTTTCTCCAATCTTATACATTGTCTCTCCGCACTGGCCTTCTCATGTCCCTAAGTCTTTCCCGGAATGCGATCATGACACTTTTCTACAACGGATCCCTTCAGGAGGGCATTTCTGCTGCAGTGAGAGATGCCAAAGCGGTCACTTGCTTTGTTAGAGGTTGCTGGCTTTCTCCCCGCATTGACTGACATGTTGCTGATCTTGGACTTGAACAGATGACCAGGAGTTGAGCTCTCAATGGGAAGACGCTTATTTCGGTGATGCTGAGGTACATATACTTGCTACAATTGAACATCTGACGGCATCTGACTCCCTGTAGGTTGCGCAAGCACTCAATGCCAAAGCAGTTGTATTGCGCTTGACAGCGGGGTCACAGGAAGCTGGATTCCTTGCCTCTTTCTGTCCGATTTCGAAATTTCCGACTGTTGTCCTTATCAAGTGCGCTCAATCTTGCAACGCCTATGTGCAATCTAGTGTTAATTGCTGACTTGTTCCAGGAATGGCACGCTAAAGGAGTACATCGGGCCAGATATCTCGAAAGATGACTTCCGTAGTCGATTGATTACAGCTTTGGAAAACGAACAGACACCCAATCCTGCACAGCAACTACAAGGAAATGACACTCCTGCCGCTTCAACTAATCCTACACCGGTATCAGTCGTGCCCCAACCCAAGCCTAGGGTGCCATCCAGTGCCAGCAAATCTGCACAGCCCTCAAAGCAAGCAAGCGAAATTGCAATCAAGAAACAATCACCGGTTGAACAAATACCCAAGAAAACTGCAGAACCTGGCAAATCAGCAGCGTCTGCATCTCAAAGCCCCTTAATATCCAAAGAAGCCGGCAATAAAGATATCAAAGGCAAAGCACCGATGGGTTCTAAGAAGCCCGCTGACAAAGGTGTTGCAAAGAACGAACCCAAAGAGCCAAAACCCGTAGTCCCTCGAGGACCTCCAACCGAGTACCGGCTACAAGTGCGCCTGTTTGATGGAAGTTCCGTGCGATCTAGCTTTACACCCACCCAGAACATCCGAAACGATGTACGGGCTTGGCTTGATCAGAAAATGGAAGGCGACAACCGACCCTACAATCTCAAACATATCTTAACCCCCCTCCCCAGCGAAACTCTTTCAGCCACCCAGGAGTCACAAACTCTCCGAGACTTAGGGCTTGGTTCCACCGCGAACCTGGTCATGGTTCCGGTAGCAACATATACGGAGGCCTATTCTGCAGCGGGTAGTTTGCCAGTTCGTGGTATATCTGCCGTCTACAACCTTGCATCTTCTGCTGCCAGCGCTGCAACGGGTCTTGTGGGTTCATTCCTTGGATATGGCTCAACCGCGCCGACAAGCGATACAGCCGCCTCTTCGGCCTCTCCGGCTGCTGGCACTTCGCAACGTCCTAGGAGCACGGGGCCCAATATCCGGACACTGAGGGACCAGCAAGATGGACGCGGGAAAAATCAGTTCTACAATGGGAACCAGGTATGTGCTGCCAAGTGAGAATATCTTGTTCGGGATTGGCTAACATCTTTCTTAGTTGAACTTTGAGCCCAGGAAGAACCAGGATGACAAGGATAAATAAGGCCTGCGGTTTTGCTTTGGGGTTCTTGCATTATTTATCTATGGCGTTGATGGATTGGTTTCGCCCACGCTCTGTACTATGACACTCTGGCTATTGTACGCTTTCTGGTTACTGTAAAGTTGATAGTCATAATAAGTGACCTTGTCCATGAAGTTATCACGCTCTTTTCATCGTATTTGGGTTTATACAGGCTTTGGTCGAAACAATCATTGGATGACTACAACGTAGGAGGTTCGTTAAATTCATGCATTCGATCTTGATTTGGTAGTCAAGCATTGATTCCTTTATCGAGGAGAGATGGTATAGAGTACAAAGAGGGATATGGAAATGGCCATGCAAAAGAAAGATTTGGCTACGGACCATCAAGTCCATAACTCCATCACTTATTACTATAAATGGTATCTGTCTTTATGATCACCAATGGTCAAATTGGTATCAAACCCTTAGTAAGGTTTGGCGGCAGCCTGGCAGGCTTTCTGCAGGACATTAGTATGTATTGAAAAAAAGTAGAGAAAAACAGAAGTGTAAACATACCAGCTGGTCAAGGTACCAACCGCAAATACCCAAGTTACCCTGGTTCTCATCCATGCAAGTGCGGAAGTTGCGGACATCAACCTCACAGGCAGGGTTCTCGTAAGAGGTCTGGGCAGCGTTGCTCTGGTAAAGACCGTTGTCCATAGCCTGGGACTGAACAGGGGCGGCCTGCTGGGCCTCAGCGGGGGCGCTGGAGCCACCGCCGAAGAAGCCACCGATGGCATGGCCGATGGAGGAACCGACAGCAACACCACTGTATCAAAATGACCGTTAGCACGTATGTCGGAAAAGTTGATACTAACCCCGGATTATATCGGGGGAACCAGCCACAAAGCCGGACCTAGAACTTACGCTGCGGTCGAGGCCATCTGGCCAAATAGTCCAGGGCCGGCACTCTGCTGCACAGGAGGAGCCTGCTGGGCCTGTGGGGGGTGAGCGGCGGTCGAGTGAGGCTGCGACTGCTGCTGCGAGGGAGCAGCCGCGGGCCGAGCAGGAGCGGCGGTAGGGCGGCTGGGAGCGCTGCGCGCAGGGGTGGGAGCGGCACGGCGTTGTTGGCGAGGCATTTTTATGGTTATGTGTGGGTTTGTTTGGACGAATGTAAAAGGGAAGTGAAGATATGCAAGCTGATATAAGTATAAAGGCTAGTGGAGAAAGAAGAAGCTAGAAGATGAGTAAGTTCGGCCAGTGAGGCAAACTCCGATGCAAACCTTGGAGCTATGCGGATGATGATTGGTCGGTGCCTGTCACGTGGATCGGACATTACGGTGCCGGTTGGCCGTCGCGGAGATACGGGAATTACTAGCATGTGCTATTAAGAGCGATAGAATGGATGTGTGCAAATTATCTCTTGGAAAGGAATACTCGGTTTCATCTACTAGCTTGTGCATAAAGTGTATCGCGGAGCTGGTTGTAGCTCCCATTGCGGAAGGGTATCTTGATTCATGGAGACATCTAAGTCTCGTACATAGTACATAGAGCCACTCATTGTGGTCTCAAGATGGCCGAGACATCCATCTAAATGGAAGCTCATGACCGGACAGATTCAGCAAAGCGATGATTAGATTCGACAATGCATGTCATGTCGCTGGATGTTTCTGATAATGATGATGCATAACCAATGCTATGCTTTGAGACTGCCCGGCAGTCCGTCCTTAGCATTCGAGGCGCAGAGGCAGTCCGTACTTAGTTCCAACTAGCTGGGGCGCAATGCATTCATTGGGCCTTTCGAGCTTTTCGAAGCTCCTCCTTCTTCGCCCGTCGCTCCTTCTTCTCTTCTTTCAGTGTTGCCTTGCTGATTTTCCTCTCCTTCTTCGCCTTGCTGCTTTCTGATTTATCTTCTCCCCTGGATTTCAATTTGCGATCCTTCTTCTCGGCCTTTCCGGCGATGTTTGTATCAACCTGAGGCTCTGCTGCTGTTGCAACTTCCACGCCGCCTTCAGAATCGTCATCGTCAGAGTCGTTATTAGATTGTGCTTTGGAAGACTCGATGCCCTTGCGAGCGAGCATGTCTGCTTTGAACTGGGCACGAGCTCGCTCTTTGGCCTGTTTTTCTGCCCGTTCCAAGTCATACTTATCATTCCCAGCCTGTGTAGATTTAGTCAGTAAATATTGCAGTACAATAGAAGAAGTCAACACTCACAAGACCATGTTTGATAAATCTGCCTGCAGCTGCCTTATCAAGGGCCATGTGTCGTTCCTCGGGCTCAGTCTCCAGAACCTTGATCTTTTCAAAGTACTGCTTCACACGGGTCAGTTCCCGGAACACTGGGTGCTGCTTCGCATCCACACCATGGAGCCGCAGATAAGCTGTCAAATTTCATTAGTATAAGTAAAGCGTGTAGACTGTAGTGCGACGTACAGAAAATTAGTGATTCTAGTGTGTAGGTGATCAACACGTGAAGTTTTGCTTTGTCCATAACAGGCAATTTGTTTGAGCTTTTGAGGAGAGTGGTAGCCAAAATTGGCTGGAGCACTTCCTCCAAATCATCGACATTGTCGTCCAGCTGTTCAAGCAGCGGCAGTAGGTCGGTTGGGTCCATGGCGGTGAGGTGTGGTGTAGATGAGAAATTGCTTGATCTAAGAAAAAAATAGGACGGGTCCAACTGGGGCGGTGGAAACGGGCGGTGTGGATTCTGGACCGATCATCGTCTGCGCAACTGAGATCGCCGAGAACTCGTGCATATCCAACAATTGCTTGATTGTTTAAAAATAGGCCTTGGTGGACACACCAGTGGCCGGGCTCTTATCTGCTTGACAATACCCACGACATAAAACCCGATACCCCACCAACCCATCTGACCTCCCGTCGCCAAACGCATACTTGCAACTCAATCGGATATCTCGGGGAGCTTTTCCTCGGAGCTCTCAGAATGCAGTCGACATTTAGGCCCCGTTCTTTGTGGAGGACTGGTTTTCTTGATACATGTTTGCGGTCGCGGTTTCAGATCTATAGCGGGCCAAACACACGATTTATCTCAACATGGAAGGAAGAGTTGGATGAGGTCAACCATGATACTAAAACACCCCTGTCAGGACGAGTGCATATCCTCGGAATGGGAAATCTAGGTTGCTTCTTTGCTCATTCTTTAGCCACGCGACGGTCACCACCTCCAATCACAATCTGCTTGCACAATGACTATCTCTACCAAGCCTTTGTTCGGAAAAGGGGACAAATCTCTGTCAGCACACATGGTCTTGACGATGTTAGAACGGGGTTTGATGTTGAAACAGTGGACGAGGAAGGAAGATGGTATACAATGCCGCCTGTTGACAAGCGGCCCTCGTTCGATTCCGAGCCCCAGTCTCTGCCAGACAATGGTCCCATCGAGTGCTTGATTATTTGCACCAAGGCGCATCACACGGAGCTTGCCATCAAAGACATTAGCCACCGCTTGACTAAAGACTCGACCATTTGTCTTGTCCATAATGGCATGGGTGTGCTCGACTCCATCAATCAAAATGTTTTCCCAGATCCCAACAATCGGCCACATTACATCCAGACAGTCTTCAGCCATGGTCTGGGTAGGAATGACTCGTTCAAGATTTCTCACCTGGGAGTTGGTACCACAATCCTTAGCCCAGTCGGAGATCCCAGTGTCTCTCCCACAACGCCAGAAGCCGACCACACATGGGCGCCATCCACAAAATATCTTCTGCGCCTCTTGACTCTCACTCCACCCTTGGTCGCTGTGGCTGATACGCCGGCGGGTCTATTACAATATCAACTTGAGAAATTGGCAGTGAACTGTGTCATAAATCCCCTGACTGCGCTGAGCGACTGTACCAATGGCGAAATCCTATACTCGTTCAGTTTTACCCGTGTCATGCGGCTGCTACTCTTTGAGATCTCTGCCGTCATCTGTGCTCTTCCTGAACTGCAAGGTATCCCGGGCATCGAGGATCGCTTCTCCCCAGAGCGCCTGCGTCGTTTGGTCGTGAACATCGCAAGCAACACGGCTAAGAACCACAGTTCGATGCAGCAAGATATCAACCAGAGAAGATTGACAGAGATTGAATACTTCAACGGATGGATTGTGCGCCGCGGTGAAGAACTGGGCATTAAATGCGCACTTAACTACATGATCAAGCATTTGGTCGCTGCCAAAGCGGCTACCCATCGGAGCCGTGAAGCTGGCGCGATTCCTCTTGATCTCGACAATGTCATCTCTACCAATGAGCCTCCCATTTAACAGCTCTGGACTATCTATTCTGTCGAATTCTTACTCTACCTTGGGTCCTTGCCATACCGCTCTGTGTGAAAGCAGGTCAAAAAATTCCAACAATTATCTAAATTCTTTGCGGAGAATCTCTATACAGCGACAGTTTTGACCGCATTTTCGCAGAGATCCTTGATCTGCCTCCACCGTCTCAGCAACATATCTGCTTTTGAACGATGTGCTTGAACTGTGGTGTTGAGTTCCATGGCCTTCTGCAGCGCAGTTATGGTTGCATCTGCCTCTGCGGCATATGTCAGAATCCACCTCTTGATGGTGGCCTCAGATCGACTCTCATCTAAGCCCTGTGTTTGGCCTCCAAGAACATGGTTCCGCCAATCCTCCTCCTTCATATAAGTCAGGCATGCAGCGACCTCTGTGCGGTAACAGGGTCCATGGGGAGTAACTTGGTAGTTACTAGCGCTGTGTCAGTGGAGGACTGTATATAATGCGTGGGAAATGCGCATTGTCATGTCAAGTATCAAATCAAACCACATACCCATAATATTGATTCAGCCACAACTCCTCTTGCTGTTCGGCGGATTGAATGTCCCGGAAAACGATATCGTCAAGGTAGATTGAATCTGCTTCATTTACATCAAGAAAGAAGCCATCTATAGAAAGGGGAGGGAGGATGTTAGTACGTCGAAGAGAAGAAGATGATAACTTTCTCACATTCTGCTAGTAATGTATCATTCGGGTGGCTGCCATAGTTCATGAACACTTCCTCGCCCTCCTCATAATCTTTCGTAGCACGAAATTCATATGTATTCTCATCAAATTTGACATCTCGCTGTTTCCATATCTGCGTTAGCTCGGGCAATATAACATGAAATTCAGACGGAGCACGTACGGCAACATCCGCATGATTGAAGTAATCAGCGAAAGGCACCAGCCCCATCGCATCATTAGGATCTTCCGGGGTTTCTTTTCCATCGCCAAGCCAATAGAAGCTCCTCGTATTCACAATGAGCCAGTTGTATGAGAATGTCTCCCAGTTGGTATCCGGGAAGGCAGAAATGACATCCGTCCATGCTTTGCGCAGGCGATGAGCCTGCTGCGAAATAATGTTCTGGTAGTCTGGGCTGTATTTCCTCGTCTTCGAGCCTGGATGTAGGCTATTCCAGCGTCCTGAGAGTGACGGGGTAAGAAGACATGGCTGCTCAGAGTCGGTTGGGGCGTCATCTTTACTGGTGGGCAACTGCGGTCCTCCCAGGACGGTTGGCCACAGAATCGGCATGCTGTCTTCGAAGTCTTTTCGGCTGGGCCATGACTTTCGCCATAGTTCGTATTTTGACAGTTCATCTGGTGCACCGTGCGTGAGATATGCCGCCAGAACAGCATGTACAGCAATATCTTCTGGGAGTCTGTCGATAAAAGTGGAAGGGATATCTTCGACCCTAAGCATCAAATGCGTCGGCACTTGGAGGACAAGTTCTCCTTTCTGAACAGATACTCGGTAAGTTACTTATAGAAATGAGTGGATATAGATCTGGAGTTTCATACTTTGATATTCCGGGTAGCCATCATTCCCAGCCCACGTCCTTGGAACCGGGCTGGGGTCACCGAGTTGGTGTCTATGCCATTTGAAATTGCCCACTCAGTGAAGGCTTCGTGTTCTTGCCCAGGCCACCATTGTGGCTTCATATTAGATAATTTTTGTGCTTCTTGGCAGACTTTGAAATGCTGCCCTAGTCAGCATATACTACAAAATAGAGATTCAGTTAGAGGGATATACATTCGCTGGAGCACACCTTCAGTGGGTCCTGTCCTATTATCCTGTTCTCTCAAGACAAAAACGCCTAAAGAAAATATTCAGCAGTGTCAATGGCCGTCGATGTGTGTCTGAAATTCACTGTACAATGTGGAGCTGATAGGTTATCGGCGATAGAGGCGTTATCGCAAAGTACGGAGAGGCACAACAACCACTTGTGCTGTCCCTGCCGATCTGATAATCATACCACTTCTACTTTCACTTCAGCTTTCGTTCCAGATCATGCACAATTTGCTTTGGCTTTGGGATTCATAATGTCGGTAATTGGGAGGCGTGGAGCAATTGAGCTTCGAGCCTTGGCTGCCAGCCCAAACCTATCAGCTGCAAGCGCTCTACGGCCCTTCTCCGTTCTGAACCGCCCACCACCAAACTACCCTGGCCATGTCCCATTGACTACTATTGAACGAGGGGCTCTTGCTGTAGGCTCAGCAATTGGATCTCTTATCAACCCTAGAAGAGCAGGTGCGTGGATATGATTTCCTACACGGTCAGTATAGAATCTCAGCTCACGATCTAATATGATACTCTATAGATCTCATTGCGGCTTTGGGCGAAGCCACCGCAACACCATTTTTCATATACCGACTACGCGATGCCATGCTCTCAGATCCAACAGGGCGCCGCATTCTCCGCGATCGTCCTCGCATCACTTCCCAAACCCTCAAAATGGCCCATCTCCGCACCCTCCCCGAGAACTCCGTCGGCCGGACATACGCCAAATGGTTAGATCGCGAGGGCGTTTCCCCTGACACTCGAGATAACGTTCAGTACATCGACAATGAAGAATGTGCATATGTCATGCAGCGATACCGCGAATGCCATGACTTCTACCACGCAGTGACGGGTCTACCGATTTTTGTGGAGGGTGAGCTGGCTCTCAAGGCGCTCGAGTTCCTGAATACACTTCTTCCCATGACAGGACTGAGTCTATTCGCCTTTGTGCGGATGAAGCCCGCTGAAAAAGAGCGGTTCCTCTCATTACATCTCCCGTGGGCTATCCGCAGTGGGCTGGGGAGTAAAGAGCTTATCAATGTTTATTGGGAGGAGGTGCTGGAGAAGGATGTGGATGAGCTTAGAGCTGAGCTGAATATTGAGCGTCCACCGGATCTAAGAGAAATTCGGAAGATGATTCGGCAGCAGCAGAAGCGGGAAAAAGAGAGACAGCAACAGGCTTCGAGCTGATCTAGATTGGGTGCTGTCGGAGCGATGGATCTCGAAGATAGGGAGAGTTGTATGATTACTGGATCGTTGTAAACCATATCACGGATGCGCAACGCATATGCGAGGCTGATTGCCCTAATTCAACCCAGCTGCAAAATAGTGTAAAAGAAAAGGAGGGACCATAAGGTCCATAACGCCTGAAAGTAGATTTTCCCAGTGGCCCATGAGCGGATACCAACAGAGGTATCCGAATGCAATAAACAAGATGGTCATAGATCACATTGTATGTGACCCTTACAGGTCCAAAAGATCATCATCGTCATCCCACCCACCTTTGCGGCGCGTGAAAACAATTTTGTGCTCCTCCTCCTCTTTGCGCTGGTTCTCGGCAACAGCTCCCAACAACTCCTTGAGCTGTTCCTCGGTTACCTTTGACCGTAACTGTCCAGACTGGGCGAGCATGATGAGGCGGTTCTCGATATCGGTTGCGCGCGATTCCTTAACGAGGCGGATGCGGCCCAGGCGATCGGCAGCGGCGGGGTCAAGGATTTGCATTAAGATCGAAGCGCGTTGCTCTGCTATAATAAATCAAAGATGGATTAGTAATGCAGCAATATAAGGACGTTCCAACCTTGAAAGGTTGCTTGGGTCCGAATGCGAATGAACTAAGAACGTTCGATCTAGGAGACGTACCCTCCGCTTGCCTGGTTGGGTTCATTAGCATACAGCAAATTCTTGCGATTTGTTCCAACACTTACTTCCTCTGCTGTGCCTGCTCGCCACCGTCCTGACCGGCTGGACCACCTCCACGTGGTCCTTGTTGCTGAAGTTGTGCGAGACGAGCTCGTCGGATCTGTTTCCTCTCTTAGTATCGGAGTCGAAGAGCCCCTCTCATGATAAGGCTAACTAACCTCTTCTAGCTCTGCGTCTGCCATAGTGGGTATTTAAATCGAGAGAGGGATTTGGATTGAACAAATGTTGAAGAGTCGAGGAATAATTCGGTGAACCCCACTTCGCCTGAGGGGTGCAACAACCTTCCATTCCGGAGGCAGTTTTGGACTATATACAACGGTGTAGTTGGGTACTTCAAGAGGAATTATAGAATTCAATTCAATAATTTAATTGTATGGGTTCAAATGTTCAATTATAAACTATATATTTGGTATAAAGTCAGCCTCATCTATCATAGTAGACCAACAATATAGAATATTGATAATATCGGAAAGAAATAGGTGGAAATAGATTGAATAGATTGAATAATAAAGACTGTCTAGTACCATATTCTATAGTATTTTATGTTAAAATGCTATTGCGATTCTGAAGTCTCCTAGTACCTGGGGAACATTGAATTACACGTGGAACTTGGATATATTTCAAACTACTCTGTACTCTGTACACCGGCTGTCTATTTCAACACCTAGGCATGTTTCATCTATTATTCAGACAGTGTGATAAGAAGTACATAGGCGCCTATCACATGGGGAATATATAGGCAGCCACTAAAAAACGTAGAAAGTAAATTACCTACGGAGCACCGATCGATAGCTTCAGGTTTAGCTCCTATTCCCCGGGGCTATCACATCCTCCGGGTGGCAATGCATTTCTCCCCCGCCTTTTTCCCTCTTGTCTCTTCCCTCTTCTTTACATTGCAATTTACTTCTTTTCAAGGTTCATTCCATCTGGGCACCTGAGCATCTGCACCTGAGCATCTGCATCTGGGCACCTGCATCATCTCAGGGTGACTAAGCTTTCATTCGCCCTCGCATTCAACATCGAACTCCCTTGACAACCCCCAACAGGCTGATATTTCCGATCCTGTTTGTGGCAATTCAATCTTTTTCTTGACCTTCAGTACATTCATTTCTGTTGTGTCTTCAGCCATCCGTCTCTCCTCACTCCTAAATCCGGATCTGGGTTATCTTTCAGCCTATTCCGTACTCGTGTATCGACTCGCACGCGCGACCTTTCTATTCTAATACTTGTTTGGTGTGAATGGCGTGGATAGAAACTCGTCTACCGGAGTTTATCTGGACGTGATTTTTGGTCTGACGAGCGAACCATCTCTTGCCTCACATTCCGGACGCCTTCTACGTCACTCACCATGGCCGAGTAAGTTATCCATCAGCATGTCCTTTTTAGGGAATTTAAGTTATTGACACTTTAGGTGGGGCAGTTTAATTGCCTTTCAAACCTCCCATCATAGTTTCTTCTCCCCATCCAACATGATTCCGCGCCACAAGAGGTCGCTCTCCTCTGAGCACCCGTCGTTATCTTCTGACCGAACCGTCATTAAAGCGAAATCCACTACCAATCTCTCCGACATCGCGTCTTCCAATGCTTCCAATGTGACACATAATTCTGGATTTGATGAAAGCAGTTTCAGCACCTTGCAGGACCCGCGATTGATGGTCGGGTCGGAGGTCTCACATTCGACGTCATCGTCTCAGCACCCCGATTTGAGCAATGAAGTAGCAGCATTGTCTGTGAAACTGATCCAGGCCATCAACAACCAAACAAATCTCGATGACAACCTGGTTGCTACCCGTCAGGAGCTAGAGCTAGCCCAAGGCAAGATTCAAGCTCTGGAGTTCCAGAATGAGAAATACCGGCGGGACATCGATAACAAAGTCTATATCAAAAAGCTCGATTCTGATCGCGAAATTTCGCAATTACGGGATACGCTAGCGGAAGAAACGATCCAACGTCTCGCCGCTGAAAAGGGCAAGAAGACTATTGAGCAAGAAGTGGAAACTCTTACTGCCGCTCTTTTTGAAGAAGCCAACAAGGTTGGTAATATAATTTAGCATATGCCTCTTAAACTAAATTCTAACACTGTTTTAGATGGTGGCTGCGGCTAAGATTGAACGTGAGGCGGTGGAGAAGAAGAATGAGCAGTTGCGTTCACAAGTCAAAGACACCGAGTTGCTCCTCGCATCACACCAGGACCAGCTTGCTGAGCTAAAGTCTGCCATGCAAGCGATGAATATCCACAAAGATGACGTGGAAGGTCGTCCCACTCCCACTCCATCCTCCCCGGATGGACCCTCACAAGCGCAAAGTTCTAGTAATCAAGAGCCTGAGCTTGGCCCTGTTCCTATATTGATTGGCGACCCCGAGGAGTTCACTCCGGGTCCTTCCACTAGTTTCCCGCAGTTCCTCCGCATGGTATGTCGGACAGACTTGCAGGCATATGAGGATTTCCGCGATTTGTTAGTACTTTCTCGGAGTTCCAAACCCCCTAGCCGCGCTGCTAGTGGATCATATGGAGGCCTGAACGTAATGGGTCTGGCAAGCTTTGCTAGTGGAGGATCTCCGTCGTCGACCTCATCACCCACCAAAGGGTTTACTCATTCCCCAAATGGGAGCACGTCTTCCACAACAGGATCGCATTTTGCCTTGAAGGAAACTCGTTTCTACAAGCGGGTGCTTATGGAGGATATTGAACCTACATTGAGACTAGATCTAGCGCCTGGGATCTCGTGGTTGACCCGACGTACCGTTCTAAGTTCTATCTGCGAAGGCAGTCTTGTCGTGGAGCCAATGCCCCCATCATCCAAAAAATTCGAATTCCCCTGCTCTGTCTGTGGTGAACGCAGACCCGGCACGCCTAACGAGAGAACCCATCGTTTCCGAACGTCAGATAGTGAGACGGCTCAAAGGTATTCACTTTGTCTTCTCTGCTTGGAAAGAGTCCGCTCGTGTTGCGAGTTCACTGGTTACTTGCGTCTCATCCTCGACGGACATCTTCGGGCTGGTGATATCGAAGAAGAAAAGGAAATTTGGGACGAGACCGTCCGTCTTAGAGAGAGGATGTTCTGGTCCCGTATCGGAGGAGGCATCGTCCCCTTGTGCAATCGTCCAAGCGAACCAGAGGCGGAGCCGGCCAGTCCAGAGTTCAATACCGGCGCCGAGAACGATGATGACCGGTATCTCCATCCCGTGGACGTTACTTACCTCGAGCCGAGGACGGAGAAAGTATCTCCAGCGGCAGACCAACTCGCCCCGGAAACACCAGTCACAGAGCACATAACCCACCCTGATCTCCCTCGACCTCAAAGTTCTATATATGACAGGGACGATGCTCCTTCCTTGAGTGGCTCGGAACGTAAGCGTTTTTCTATCGATTCAGCAGCAAGCGTTTATGAAGAAGCTAGCGCTGACGTGGATGCCAACTCCACACCACCCGTCTCCAACGAGCTCTCAATCGCTCCTAGTCGAGACACAGACACAGATATTGCCAGACCCAATGGTCTGAGCAACCCTTGAACTCGGTTGATCAGCGATCAACACGAGCTAAATGACTACACGGTTTACCCAGCATTTTATGATCCGCCTAATGTCTTCCCCTTTTGGCATCGCATTCTTCAGTCACTTAATTATCCTCTACTTTCTCCGTTGATACAGACCTACCCTTTTGACATCATGGCTTCTGCTTCTGCTTCTACCTCCGCCTTTAATCACCTTGGAGTACACCTTTGATGCTCTTCAGTGGTCTGGCTTCTTGTATTATTATCAACCTTTTCACTTCTGACTACGCATACATAATAATCCGTTTTGTTTTCCCCTTCTTTTTTTCCCCGCGGATATTTGGACCAAGTGGTGGCATTATGGATCTTCGCTGTTTTCTATTCTTCTTTTTTACCTTTTTCTGTTCGTTCCCAATTTTGACTCGCGGTAATGCTGGTCTTGGGCCGCATTGGTGGAAGCATTGTGTTAAATGATAGATGAATTTGAATCAAATTGCATAAATAGACGATACGTGCTATTGGAATAGTATACCTTAGAAGATACGAACACCTGGGCAACATATGCTAGTTACTAATGTCCAAAGAATCAGTACTACTATGGTATCTAGACAGATTCAAGCTAATAATAGCACGGAAAGAAGTATAGATCAGACAAGATGTTTCGTGAGGCTAGAGTAAAAGAGGGCTATTGTACACAAACAGAAAAAAGGCTCATCCAGATTTCATTCCTCCCGAACTCCACAAATGGCAGAAAAGTATTTTCGAAATCGAGAACCCCTAAAAAACCTCAATTAGACGAGAACATCCTGACTGGATTTCATGTAGCTATATAAGCCGGAACCGGATACTAACCCTAGCCGTGGGGATATCATTTCTTCGCAAGCTGATGAATATGTCTGAGCTGGTCTTCGATATTCATACTCTGGGGGTTGTGCACGCCAGGCGGGCCAGCATTCGGGTTCTGTGGACCAGCGGAGCCATCGACACCTATGGCCATTCGCTTGCGGCGATCTTCCTCCGGGTCGACGGGGGCAGGATCGAAGACGTCGCTGCGTTGACTTGCAAGGCGTTTGAGGTTATTGACCACGTCGACGGTGGACAGGTTGGTGGTGGCACTGCGAGCTTCGGCCTTCGCACGCTGCTCTTTCCAGCGCGGATCGAGTAGCTCGATACGGATGTGCTCGTCCAGTTCGGGGAACGGTACTTTCTGGTTGCAGTAAGGGCAAATCGCCATCTGAGCTTGTTGACGACGGGCCTGGGCTCGGGGCACGTAATCTGAACGGATGCGCATTGGCTGTTGGCCTGGGATGGCTGCTGCCTGGGCAGCGGCGGCTTGATCGCGCGATTGGGTCCGCTCGCGGATGCGCTGTTCTTCTTCTGCGTTGGGATACTGGCCTGTTGGGTGATAGGGGCTTGCTGGGTAAGGCGAGGCCGAAGGTTGCGGGGCGTGCATGGGTGGGGTTTGAACTGGGTAGGCGTTGTAGTAGACAGGTTCGTCGAGGCCGGTGGGCATCGCTTCCTCGATGCGTCGTGTGTTGAGGGAGAGCGCTGCTCTTTGCTCGAGAGAGGCAGATTGCAGGTCATTGGCTGAGGTCGGCGGTGGCAAGTCCGCGTGGTCGTCGTGCTCGGTGAACTCGACGGTTTCAACGACGACAAAGTCGTGCCAGTCGATCTGAGCATACTCAATACGCTCCTGTTCACTTTGCTCTTCCTTCTCTTGCTTCTGTTTTCGCTGATATTTCACCCACTCTGCGCGCTGCTTAGCACGCTCCATGACATTGAATTTGTTCTTTGCATTTCGCTCCAGTTCAGCAATTCTTTTCGTGGCCGAAGTTGCTTCGTCGATGCCCTCGGCGCGAAGCAAGATAGTATATTGGTCGACCAATCGAGTGAAGAATTGGTAGAGACTATGCTGTGGCCGTAAGAAGTCGAATTGGAAATTTCTGGCCTCGCGCTGCGACAGGGCAGTCATGAATGACTTTCCCCGCTTTGCGACAAACAATGCCGTGAGCTTGACGACGTCCAAATCCTGCGCATTGATAATAGGCATACGCGCCGAGAAGTGGAACGAAGACGGTTGGGGTGGCCCCTTGGGCTTTTCGGGTTCCGCGGCGGCAACAGACTCGCCAGCTCGCCCAGCTAATCCCGCTACTCGCCCTGCTTTGTACTCAGCCGTATACCATTGATAGTAGGGCTCATAGGCATCTCCAGGTGTCAAAAAGGAGAATTTGTAGTTGTTCTTTTCCTTCTGGCGGATACGGTCTTCAAATGTGCCTTTATGGCGAACGACATAGCTTGCGGTAGTCTCGATGGCTTTTCGGATATCCTTGGGGGGAAGAACCATGCCCTCTGGGGGCTTTAAAGCCCCCTCAGATCCCTCTGGGCGAGGTGTGGTTCCATTGGATGGGTCCATTGTGAATGGTGAGGATATGAAGAGATGGGGGGAGTAGGACCGCGATAATGGATCTAAGACTTGCTGACTAGCTTCACTAGCCACAGTGTTTACCGCCACAGTGGCAGTACAGTGGCACATTACAGTGGCGGTGTATCCCGTGCGCGGCCATGTCTGCATTTTGTCCTTCTCCACTGAAATGCAGCCAGATAGGGAATGTTTACTTTTTTTTTCTTCTATAGTCATCAGATAGAATTATTCTTTTTACATATGTAGATATCAACAATTATAGGATTTTAACATGAAATCCCACTAGTAAAGATTGGTACAATACTGGGGGGAAACGAAAAAAACTAGGGGGCTGCTCACATGTTGTCCTCCACAGCCGCCGTTGATCTGGCCTCAAGGTGGACCTGAACGCTTTCGTCCATTTGTGTTCACTTCTGTTCTTGTCTTTCAACATCCTGTTTTTCTTTTCTTTCTTACTCTCTCTTCAACAGCCTTTTTTTTTTTCTTTAATCTCTTATCTCCCTGTCATGGGGCCTTTTTCCTCATTGTTACACGATCATTAATTGGTGTGGTGCCTGAAGCCTTTGAACGGTTGACAGCTCGAGGCCGAAAGCAGCTCTCGACAGCCACTCGTCCATTGAACCCTGAGAAGCCTCTCATTAACGATTTAAACCATAACTAAACTACACGCAATTCTCCTATCGTTTCCCCTCGGCATCTCGACTCCCGCGCCGTTCTCCTGAACCGCTGACGTCGTTTAACACCTGTATCGAAACAAGATGGGTCAGAAAGCGAAAGATACACTGGCCGTACGGCCGCAAAGCCGTGGTAGGCGCTCGCCCAGCCGGTCGCCCAAACCCAAGAGCCGCAAGCCTTTGGCAGTCCCTCGGACGTACGCCTCGGATGGAGTGAAGAACAATGATATCTTCAAACTCCCCAGCTCGGACTATAAGCTCATTGTTCTGGTGACTCTGATAGCCGCGGCTGTTCGTCTATTCAGAATTTATCAACCCACCAGCGTGGTCTTCGATGAAGTCCAGTACGTTCTCGGCTGACCTTGTGTTATAAATCGAAATAAAAACAAACAGACACTAATGATTCGTTGTTGAACAGCTTCGGTGGATTTGCTTCCAAATACATCAAGGGAAGGTTCTTTATGGATGTGCACCCCCCGCTGGCTAAACTGCTGCTTACTCTGGCTGGCTGGCTGGCTGGTTTTGACGGAAACTTCGACTTCAAGGATATTGGCAAGGATTATTTGGAGCCCGGTGTTCCCTATGTGGCAATGCGCATGCTCCCAGCCATCCTGGGTGTTTTGACTGTCCCATTGATGTTCCTCACCCTGAAAGTTACCGGGTGCCGAACTTCGACTTCACTACTAGGTGCCGGTCTTGTTATCTTTGACAACGCCTTGGTCACTCAGTCTCGTCTGATTCTGCTTGACTCTCCATTGATTTTCTTCACTGCCCTGACAGCTTTGGCGTTTAACTGTTTCACCAACCAACAAGAGCTCGGACCGACCCATGCCTTCCGCGGTCCATGGTGGTTCTGGCTGGTGTGTACCGGTCTTTCTCTTGGCGCCACCCTGAGCGTGAAGTGGGTTGGTCTGTTCACTATGGCTTGGGTTGGATCTCTCACGGCTCTCCAGTTGTGGGTACTATTGGGTGATTCTAAAAATGTCACACCGGTATGTGTTTCCAGATTCAGATCAAGCCGTATTTTATGCTAACCAGAGGATTGTTGCAGCGTTTGTGGCTCAAGCATTTCTTTGCCCGGGTCTTCTGCCTCATTGTCATTCCCATGGGCTTCTACCTTGCCATGTTTGCCATTCACTTTGCATGCTTGGTTAACCCCGGAGAAGGTGACGGCTTCATGTCATCGGAATTCCAGGCAACTTTGAACTCAAAGTCTATGCAAGATGTTCCCGCAGATGTCTCCTTTGGATCTCGAGTCAGCCTCCGCCATCTGAACACGCAGGGCGGCTATCTGCACTCCCACCCTCACATGTACCCAACGGGTAGCAAGCAACAGCAAATCACGCTCTACCCTCACAAGGACGAAAACAACTTGTTCCTCTTGGAGAACTCAAGTCAGCCTCTTGGACCATATGGACAGGTCGAAGGCCCGTTCGCTTGGGATAACTTGACTGCTCCTGGTTTCGTTGAGGATGGTTCGACTATCAGACTTTACCACGTCATCACTCACCGAAGAATTCACTCGCATGATGAGCGCCCTCCAGTGACAGAGGCCGACTGGCAGTATGAGGTCTCTGCCTACGGGTACGAAGGTTTCCCTGGTGATGCCAACGACCTATGGAGGGTCGAGATTGTTAAATCCATGTCCGAGACTCCTGAATCGAAGAAGCGCCTGCGGACCATCCAGTCCAAGTTCAAGCTGGTGCATGTCATGACTGGCTGTGTCCTGTTCTCCCACAAGGTCAAGCTTCCGGACTGGGGATATGAGCAGCAGGAAGTGACGTGTGCAAAGGGTGGTACTCTTCCCAATAGCGTTTGGTATATCGAGTCCAACCAGCACCCTGCTATGGCCCCAGACGCCGAGCGAGTCAACTACCGGAACCCCGGCTTCTTGGGCAAGTTCTGGGAATTGCAGAAGGTTATGTGGACCACCAACGCAGGCTTGGTTGAATCCCACGCCTGGGATTCTCGTCCGCCCTCCTGGCCCACCCTCCTTCGTGGTATCAACTTCTGGGGCAAAGATAACCGCCAAATCTACCTCCTCGGAAACCCGCTCACTTGGTGGTCGAGCACTCTTGCCATTGGAATCTATCTCATTTTCAAGGCTCTCTCCATCGTTCGGTGGCAGCGAAGCTGCGGTGACTACAAGCACGCTTCGTTCAAGCGCTTTGACTACGAGGTTGGCACCAGCGTTTTAGGCTGGTTCTTCCACTACTTCCCGTTCTACCTCATGGCGCGCCAGCTGTTCTTGCACCACTATCTTCCCGCTCTTTACTTTGCTATCATGGTTCTATGCCAAGAACTTGATTTCCTCACAAACCGAATTAAGAGCCTCGGGCTTGCGTCGAAGCCCCTAATCGGCAAGGCTCTAATGGCAATCTTCCTGGGTCTCAGCGTTGTTGTGTTCACCCTCTACGCTCCACTCGTGTATGGCAACCCCTGGACTAGGGATGCCTGCAACCAGGTGAAGCTTCTCGGATCCTGGGATTTCGACTGCACCACCTTCCACAACGACGTAAGTGTTCCGGAATGGAGACCACCTCGAAGAGGTTATTGAACGAATCGACTTTCGAGACCACGACTAACATTGACTTTTAAATGCCACTAGTTGAGCCAATATATCACTCAATATGTGCCAAACGTGACACCTGTGGCTGCCCCTACAACCGTAGCCCAAGCACCACCCCCACCGCCACCAGTCCAGGCCCAAGAGCCTGCACATGAGGCTGCAAATGAGCCTGCAAATGAGCCTGTAGATGAAGCTGCCCAAGCCTCAGACCCGGCGGCCGTCACAGAGCCCAAGATCAAAGGCTCCATGGCGCGTGTTGAGTACCGCGATCAGAACGGCAAAGTCCTTGATGAGAACCTGGTAGCCTCTCTCCGAGCAGAAGGTAAGGTGAAGTTTGAGACTCGCTATGAACCTGGTCCGCCTATGGAGAATGCCCACGATGTCCCCGTCGTCGATGGCCAGCTCGCGCCCCCGCACCCGGATGTGCAAGGCCAGAATCCTGAGACTGGCAGCGCTCCCGCGGACTCCGTGGCCCCCGAGAGCCCGGCGTCTGTGGCTGGTGACAACGAGCGCTCTGTCGAGCAGTCTAGCTCCATGGAGGCTAAGCCTGCCAGTGAGGGCAATGAGGCCACTAAATAGTGGTCGTGTGGAAGATAAAGTGTAAGAGGAGAGCGGATTCTGCCATGTATAATGAGACTCCATAGAGTACTTGTCTATTTCTCTATTAGCTTTTTCTTTCGTGTTGCTATAATTGACACTGATATCTGCAGATTCTGGGCTATATATATCGTAACACCAAATGTAGTTGGCGATCTTTTATTTTAACCTTTATGCAACTGGTTTGTTAGATGATTCCACATAGATTGTTAATTCAACATTATAACCAAGCCGGCAGGATACGGATGTAACGCAAGATAGAGACCTATTCCCGATTGACTCTTTATCTGAATACGGATACTATGCACAAATCTCTTGCTATCCAAATGGCAAGTTCACGCAGTCCTCTCCCCGATCTTAGTGTACAGCAGCCGGCCGCAAGAAACGGTGGTTCGCTTCATTCAACTTCTTAAGGTACTTCTTTGGGCTAGTCAATAGCCATCTAGTAGTCCCATTCCTCCTTGCCGTACTTGTTGAATCTCTCGTGGAGATCCTATTAGAAAGAAACTAATGTCAGCATTTCCCTCCAGAACAGCCAATGCGATCACACCACACACATAGCACTCCGAACTATGTTCTGGAGCAATCCCATGTATGGCATAAAATGAAAAGGTCCAGGGAACTCATACCTCGGGCAGGGTGACATTGGGAACAATGACAGTGTTCATGGCGCTGGGAGCAGCGCGGAGGGGCTGGCTCTTGTCACCGTGAGGGTGGTACTGGTACTTGTAGACCTTGCCATCCTCGGACTCGCCATGCCAGGGCATAGCGCTCTCGCCAATGCGAACGTTGCTCTCAGAGTTCACGGAGGTGGGCTTGCGGCCGAAGTACCTATATTCTCGCGAATACCGAATTGATTAGCGACCGTGCTCCTTGCTTTCTATTGTATGTGTATGCGCCATTGAGGGTTCTAGGTAGATCGAGCAAAATCCCGAAGAAATGCTGATACGTCACAATGGCGCAAATGGGGCGAAATTGGGCATGAGGCATTGTAGGGCAATTTCGGGAGGGATGCTCACCATCCGGCAATCAGGAAAGCACCCGACATGACACCGAGAAGGACCTAAAAGCACAATAATTAGAACAAAAGCTCTGGCGTTGTTCAATGGCTTTGTGGGATCCGTACATAGAGCTCGGGATCACGCTTGGGG